ATTCATTTCTTCGTTTGACAGGAATTCAGTGCTGTGCAAGAAGACAGTGTAGGGATTGTGGTCGAGTGGATGCGTCGCCGTACTGTCGATCACAAGGTCCGCGGTTCGAGTGCCGCCGCCGCACTAATGTCCTTTGGCAAGACATTGATCTACATTTGACACACTCCACCCAGGTGAAGTAAATGGGTACCTGGTAGGAATTTATTCCTTGAAATTGAAATGCTAGAGCGCCGTATGGCAGCCGTGCTAAATCCAGGGTAATAATCGGGAGTGCCAGTAGGGTCAAATCTGACTGACATGAGCGCTATATATATATATATATATATATATATATATATATATATATATATATATATATATACAAGAACCCACTATTATTATTATTATTATTATTATTATTATGATGATGCGGAACTTTCTTATCTCCTGTCAAGTGTCTAAACCACTGGAGTACAACTCTTAGAATGATGGTAGGGCATAATGGGTTAAGCATTATACCGTAATATCGGGTCGAGCTAGGGGTGATTCTACTACACGATCGCAACTATACACATACTCACAAAAATATAACTTGGGCAATTTCAATTAGCCTTGGTGTCAACCTATTAAAATGTGCAAACATGATACGACGTATTACGTAATCCGAACATGATTTCTATGGGATATACAATAGGGCATGAAATTGCCCTTGATGTGATTTTTTCAAAAACTAGTAAGACTGTTATGAATCATAATAGTCTTATAATAATGATCGTACGTGTTCTGTGTTCTTCCAACAGTAGCATACAGGGGACGCGGGGGCACATGTCACGTGTACCCCAGTCCAGTCGTGAAAAAAAAAAGTAAAAGTGAAAAAGGAGAGAAGGGGAAAGGAAGAGGGAAAAGATACCTGGGCTACCTCTCACCCCCTTCCCCTAATCACTCATTAGCCTTGTAAATTGCATTTCATTTTCGGCTTATAGACGTACACGTGCGCCTCTCTCCCGGGAGCCAATCGTTCCAATGGCCCTTAAAATGGATGGAATGAATCTATGTCCCAGCTGTCTTCCAATAATAGTTTCCGGCGACCCCCTTCTTCCTCTCAGATGCTGTACATAAATATCGCGAATCTCGATCCTTAGATGTCACCACGATCGAGAGGTAGGGAATATACCCATTCAAAATTTCTGTCAGAAATGTTATTATTGCTGGCAAATTGTCATACTTTATCTTGTCTCAAGTCACAAATTACAGTTCCTTGCCTGTTTGATGGATCTTTATTATATTGCTTGACTGGTTGGAAATATTTACTGTCGGTATATAGCGCACGAAGCTTGTGATGGGGGCGGCATCGTGCATGGGCACGGGCCCCAAATCGAAAGATGCATTAAACAAAAAAAGGGAAAAGAGCGAGGGGTAGAATGAAAAGCTATATAGGGCAATGACAAATAAGTTGTTTCATGACCTATCTATAGCCTTCACCTCACTCGACGACCTGGTTCTCTAGCATATTTCGTTCACATAATTCGTCCCTATTTTCACGAAGTGACGGTAGTGAATGAAAATCGCATTCACTTTGCATTACGATTTTCCTCATGACTACCGTCACTTCGTGAAAATAGGGACGAATTATTATATCCGTCTCCCTAACGACGCTCTAGCTAGCTAGCACCCGTTTATTTTATTGCTGCACAATTATAAATGCACGTTTTAAAAATATGATGTACTCACCACTGTGCAAGTGTAGACGATATACCAAACCAGCTATCAATCCCTCGTATTTTAAGAGATACACAATAATAATAATGGGTGCTTCTAAAGCGCACCAGGTCCGTCGGGCATGACGCTCATACAAATGCAAATACGAATACAAAAGAATGTACAAATTACCTATACAAGGTGGTTTTCAACGACATGCGTGCACCTATAGGTATATGAATGATTCTGTAGTATTGTGTTTCTGGATCGAGATTCGATGATTGGCATATAGTTATTGTTAAATGAAGGTGGTACTTTGGACTCGAGTGACCATCATGAAAATATCCCTGGGAAAATAATGGCCTGGACTATTATACCAGGGCATGTTTACTCTATCCAGGGAGGTGTTACCCTGCTATATCGTAATACATTACACTTTATGAATCAAGGTTAAGAAAAAAGGAAATGGAGCGCGGGGACTGAAAAAGAAAGAGAGAGAGAGAGAGAGAGAGAGAGAGAGAGAGAGAGAGAGAGAAGGGGGAGGGGTCAAAGGCGAGAAATCAGAAAGACTTTTCAAGAGGAAAGTGAAAGGAAAAGCCAGACATATATATACGAGAGAGAACCTGGAGAAAGATAGGAGGAAAGAGAGAGAGAGAGAGAGAGAGAGAGAGAGAGAGGGAGGAGAGAGAGAGAAAGAGAGAGAGAGAGAGAGAGAGAGAGAGGGGGTAGAGAGAGAGAGAGAGAGAGAGAGAGAGAGATAGGGGGTGGTAGGAAGAGAGGGAATGTGAAAGCAGAAAGAATGACATACTTCTACCATTAATAACCATTATATCATCATGTACCATCATTCAATATTTATTAAGTAGACAATAAGAAGAAATAGACATTATATTAATTAAGATATTACTAGAAAGGGAAGGGAGGTCAAGAGCAAGAAGGATTGAAGAGATAAAGCAGTGAGAGAAAAGAGTGAAAGTGAGAGGCAGACAGAGTGTGTCTGAGAGGGAGAGACAGGTAGAGAGAGAGAGAGAGAGAGAGAGAGATGATGATGTTCAATTTTTTACTGCAATCACAATGAAACATCTACTTACCTTAAGTAACAATATCAAGCACAGTATTTTCTCATTTTAACCCTCAAAGGGGATTTTAATTCAGCTCCGCTGATATATATAAATTCAATCCAATACACCACAACATAAAATGATACTAGTTCAAACTACGAGTAACAATATAATGTTATACAACACAAACAAATATGTTTTGCACTATGTGTTACATTCTTTTGTTAAGAAAAGAATACAATAAATACTTGACTCCCAAAAGGAAACTGTACAATGATATTTTTTTCAATATTCAATTTAAAGAGTTTTGATCTAAGTGATTGAGATCCGCTCCATGATCTGCAAATGAATGAAAAACAAGTCAAGAAAAATAAACCTTGAACCCTCAACATCTACTACTATACACACCATGACTATACCACTGGGCCTTTTCTTGAGTCTTGTTGAATTAGAAACAGATCGTCAGTCAGGCCTCTTTATTATGATTCATTACAAATAAAGGTAATAGGATATAGATATCTATAATAATAATCATAACAATTTTAATAATAAAAATAATAAAATAACAATAATAATTATATTAGTAGCAGTAATAATAGTAGTAGTTGTAGTAGAAGAAGTAGTAGTAGAAGTAATAATATTAATAACAGCACTACTTCTCCTGATCATGGTAAAAAGGATTACAATAGTAAAATAATGATAATGATAATAATTATAACAATAATAATAATATAATAATAATAATTATAATAATGGTAATAATAATAACAAAAATAACAAAAATATAATAATAATAGTAATAATGATACCATTAATGATAACAATAATAATAGTAATAATAATAATAATCATCATCATAATAATAATGATAGAGGGTTCTTGTATAGAGCTCATGTCTTACACACTTGACATTCCTGATACTGTACTTCACTGTTCGTTTGTTCAGAAAAGTTGTCTTGTCCTTTTGGGTAAGTGGTATTTAATAAATATCAGCCTATCTGGCCATTTCAGTTACTCTAGGAAGTTCAAGTATTTCTGGAGCACCACGTAAACATTACCAACCATATTCTCTATTAGCCAATAATAGGAAGTGAAACTATAATTTCCCTCTCGATTCATCTTAGGTGAATTATACGTCCATTTTGTTCTCCATATACATGTACCTTGTACCCACATGACAATAGGCCTACTTTAAAGCATGCAAAACAGATAATTTTTCTTAGCACTGATCATAATTTATTCAACTGTTACGGTATATTCTTCCTATGAATTTGCTTAAGTCATATCATAAAATACTTATTTTTCCACATCCATTACCCACTTCCGTTATCCCACCATCAATATTCTTTGATCTAAGGTGTACCTATAATTGTTTGTTATTTTTAATGACTTTGTAATACTATTGTATTTTGTGCAGTATCCTTGTGTTACTACTTATGTAAATTGCACTCAATTCAGCTGAAAGGCTGCCATGTACAATGTTTTTTATACCACAATAAACATTATTTTTTTATATAGGGGTGAGCTACATAAAAAGTGATTTATGAACACAACATCTAAGTCTTATCATTTATCAGGCCCACGTCACACTGAAACTCATTTTTGTTTTTATAATGGAAACCCTAAATGATTGGCTGCATTGCTCTCATAAACACTTCCTTCTTTGGCAACTAAACTGAATCAGAACCACGTAGATCTGCACTTGTTAAAGTCACAATGAGACGAACAATGAACTCAACAAGTCTTGTTCATTATCCTACTGTGGCTTAAACTGCGTGCAGTGCATATTCACTAATGCACTCACAAACATGATGATTTGGGGCCAGTCACCACGAAATGAGTCCAGTGTCGCATTAGGCTCAAACGTAGTAATAGCGATGTATAGTGTGTATGTACTGAAAATTGACCCACCTACCACATTTAAGATTTTTCCAAAAATCGACTTATTAATGTCTTGTAGTTTATGTCTCCAGAGCTTAGGTCACGAAAATATCTCCTTCTAACATTTTTTGGCAAATAATATAGGCTATGTAATCTGAAATTATCACGAAAATGATGCATTTTTAAAACTGGGTAATCCCATTGTTTATAAAGTCCAATTAGGTTTTTGTTCATATTTCTGGATATAATTTATCAATTTTAATGTGTGACCCCTTAATTTAAAGCTTACTTAATGTAGATTCATATAATACTTAAAAACAGGAATAAAATTTTTGACCAACTGGACTCATTTCGTGGTGACAGGCCCCATTTGTATTGCTATTTTTTGCTGGCTTTTGGGGAATGTTGGCAATCGATATTTGTGCAGAAAGATAAAATATTTCTTCATTGCCGATAGTTACAGTTTTGTGCATATTTATATTTTTACATCGAGGTATTAAAGTCAAAAGCATCATAATGAAACATCTGTAAACCACTGCATGAAAATCGAACAAGAGAAGTGTACTCTACAAGAAATCGCATAAAGAAATATGAAGTTGCATAGATGTACGGTGAACAACTGAATTATTGTATGTAAATTCTTCTTAATTTAATTTTTTAAAATTAAATCTTATTTTAATTTGTACATATAACAATAACCATAAAGTCACTCCACAAGTATGTGAAAAATAGATTTGTCCTGATTTATGTTTCTTGAGAATGTGATATATCAAAGCTTACATCTGAAAGCATTCACTTGCCGAAGGCCTCTATTCAACCAGACCACTTTTCATTCTTGAGTAACAAAATACACTCAAAACATCAACTTTACCAGGGGTATGAATAACTCACTTGTTAACTCTATATGTACATGTATATACCAATATCACCCTCATGTCCATTTGTTACTGCATCCTATCATTTTCAGGTGCTGGGAATGCACCAACCTACAGTCTGCATTTCTGGAAGATGACATCAACTTATTTTGTAATGTTCTCTTTACCAGTGGTACTCTATTTGACTCTTGCTAGGTATACTACCGGTATGTAGTATTTATATGTGACATATGTGCCTGTCACTACTTCTTGTTCGTTATGTTTATTTAAATCCTCAATTTTTTGGAGCTTAGAGACGTTTCCGATGAAAATAAAACTGAATGAATTTAGAGTAGAAATATAAAGGAATAAAAAGTATTTACCCTTTCATTATTGCACAAAGGCAAATTAAAACCCCATTTTCCACACCGCTCAAAATTACGGGTCAACAGGGGTCAAATTTGCTGAAGTCAAAGTGACGGCATAGCTGTACCCGACCGTTGCACCTATATAGGTGAGGTGATGAGCCGTGATTAATTAATGCAAAGTCATTGTGAATATGCATACTCCACACAAGATGATGTCATCAAGTCGATAATAAGTTTTTAGGTTGACAACTTTAGATTTTAAAGCTTTAGATTTTGAGTTTTCAGAAAGCAGATACTCCTCTGACAGACACTAAAAATGGCATATAATTGATATTATTGCAATCTTTGGCTTTTAAGCTTTCAGTTGATATATCATTCATCCATTTCATTTTTCAGTTCGGATATGGTCTTTAAATATATATTGTTCAAGTAAAGAATACATGTGTTGCTTGCATGTCTTACAGAATTTTTCTGTGCTGGATAGAATGTTTTTCCTATTACGTGTCAATAAGGCTACACTAAATACAAGGCCTCAACCAGTAGGTCAATCTCATTGTGTGGTTAAAGATGCTCTTTAACAGAAGAAATCAATATCTATATGATATAACCACTAAAGCATACATTGTATGATGCACTACAATATGGTGTTTTCCACAAGAAATTGGGTGAATTTTCACTTAACACTAGTCAATAACTACAAACTCTATTATGAAAACACATGATCAAAATGGATATTTCTAGAATACTTCAGCCCAGGATATAAATAAATTTTAGTAGTTATACTAATAAGACAAATGTATCACAAAAATATAAGAATGAAAAATAAGAATACTTAAAAGAATACGTCAGCCCAGGATATAAATAAATTTTAGTAGTTATACTAATAAGACAAATGTATCACAAAAACATAAGAATGAAAAATAAGAATACTTAAAAGAAATACAAAAAACCAGCAATTAAACATTGGCAAATGTTGCATTATCCCCAAAGTACTACATGTATATAAAAGTGCTATATTTTCCCAAACTTACCATATGTATTCAAAGTAAACTTATCACTACATATTATAATTTATTAACCAGCACTTGCAGTCTCAGGATTGCAAACCACCATCTGATCTTCGGTTGCTTTCTGAGCGTACTCCTCCCACGATCCATCATAAACTCCGACATCCTTCTTTCCAGTCTGATGGGCGGCCAATGCCAGGATGCAGGCTGTGACCCCTGACCCACAGGTCGCTGTGACAGGTCCGGAGAGGTCAATGCCACTGTCTGCAAATATCTTGACAAGCTCTTCTGGGGACTTCATGAGACGCGCCCTCTCTGAGTCGTCGTCATTGAGGAGGGTCGAGAAAGGCACATTGGCAGAACCTGGCATATGGCCACAGGTTAATCCTACAGGACACATTAAAACAAAAAAAAATAAAAGGGGAAGTCAACCCTGGTATTAAATCAGATTTCATGGAAGCAGAAAAATTAGAGAAACAGATTAATCCAGTGAAAGTTATGAGCAAAATCCGATTTAGAAATTGGAAAGTTATGACTTTTTGAAGTTGCAATCGATTAATCACATATGGGCGACACTCTGACAAAATTTTCTGAGGTCCTCTCCAGTTTCATCTACAAAAAAAAGAGAAAATACTAAGTCACACATGTACCCTTGATATAATCATTGCAGATGTGTTCTTACACAACCTCTGTATGAAATTAATTAATTCCTTCATCAATAACTAAGAAAATTAAAATTCTTTAGTGCAGAGGAAATGAAAGAGAACCTTAAAAGTATGTCAGTGTTTGTGTTCCCAAGATTACAACTTCTAAATTAATAAATTTCTTATTCTAATTGGCTTATCTTCAAACTTTCACAAATCTGTTTCTCTTATCCCCCCCCCCCTATTTTCCATTTCTATTTTTAGTCTGTATTGTATCTGAGCAGCAGCTCTTAACCTAGGGAATACAGGGTAGCATATTTTCTGGGTTTGTCATTGTAATGGTCATAAATGAAACAAAGTCATCTAATATATGTAACGGTATGTAATCATTATATTTCGGCCAGGTTGTTAGTCTTAAAACACTTTGCCATCTACGCATCCAATGATAGTGATTTGGGAAAACACTTCTTGCAAAGCTGTTTCTCAGTACTCACAAAAAATACAATAGTACAGTGTAAATACCTTCTCTCGGCTCAGGCACCTTGCCAAGAAATCTGGCCTTTGATCTGGCATCCATAACTTGAAACTTGTTTGTGTTCAGATTGCCTGTCATATCACTAAACCGTTTGACCAGATTGGGTTGGAGCTCAGCTTTAAACTCCTGCTTCTCCACCTCACTGGGTGCTGTGCTGCTACACAGCGGATGTCCTGCCTTCTCCCACAGTGGAAGACCTCCGTCTAAGACCGAGACAGCGTTGTGGCCAAAGACTCGGAACAGCCACCAAACTCGAGCTGCAGAGAACACTCCCAGCTGTGGATGATTGTCATAGACTACCACATGCGTGTTGTTGCAGATCCCGCGCTCTCCGACGTACTCTGCGAAGAACTCCGGCGTGGGAAGGGTATTGGAGAAAGGAGAGTGCGGGAGTGTGCAGTCATCGATGCTGAACTGCTCTGCACCCGGGATGTGCTTTTTGGCGAATTCTGCTTTGGGGTCCATCCCACTGCTTGGCATGTACCAAGTCCCATCCAGAACCCTGAGATATTGAGTTTGAGGGGAAAGGATTCGGGAAAGCCATTCACAGCTCACCAGAGCACTAACTCTCTGCATTTTGCTACCAAATCAAGTTCCTGTTTATGCAGATAGAAAGAACAGTAATATGAATATAATATAACGGATTGACAATCTTTTTCTGAATCTAGTGAAAATATGAAGAAGAAAAAATAAAGTCAAGAATGTTATCAACATAAAAAAAAATTTGGTTAAAGTATGGTCTATTTAAATGACTCATTATTATTCATAATTAATCTATAATAACATGAGATTATGAATTAAGCTTTAAACCATTGAATACGATTTCATTTTTGTATAGACTTAAATCAAAACCCATTTTCAATGGATTCTATAGTGTACTAAGATCAACTGGGCTGAGTATTCAAGGAGGAAAGCTTAGAATTAAAACAAAAAATTGATTGATGTCATATTCATTAAATAAACCTCCATTTGATTTCTGATCTGCCAATATTAAGAAACGCCTTTTACAATTTCGCACGTGCAGGAAAAATACAAATTGCAAACTAATCAAGATATAGGAGGGCCTAATCAAACTTTTGGACCTAGGCTAATTAAGACCTAGATCTCCTCCATCCTCTTCATTTAAAAAAGGAAAAGAAAAGAAAAGAAGAATAAGAAGAAAAAGAACGAGTCGGGAGGAAAAAAGGTATTAGCATGGCTGCCAAAGTCATCTTCAGGCTTATTCTTTAAATTGAACAAAAGATGCACTCACAAGGTCAACACAACTCAATCAACATACAAATTAAAAGTCAATGCCAATATCACATCTATGACATCATGCCTTGAAATTACATCATTTAAAACTTTCCTAAGAATGACAAAAGTTGTAAAAAGCACAAAAAATGTTTACAAAATAATAAATGAGCATCCAAAGAAAATTCTAGCCTTACAAAGCACTTGGTGATAATATGAAATATGATATTGACATCAAAATGATATTTATCATCAAGCCCTTGATAAAACGTTAGCAAATTAATTTTGTTTTTTCAGTGTTAAACTCTTATCTAATCCTACAACTTACTTCTTCTGAATGCAGGCTTTAGCCTTTACATTCATTTCAAAATGTATTCTACCCTACGTGTTAATTTGCATGGATATATAATGACCAGGTTTGAACTTTAATTACTCTCTTTAAATTTCTTTAGTGGTAAACTCATAGTTAATCATATTTACTCTATATTTTTTTTAAAAACTTGCATGACGCTGAAACACTCCAACTATAGCTATATAGTCCAGAGGGCCGTTTCTCAAAACCAACTCCATGACAGTCATATCTTTGTCGGTGACCTATGGAGATGTCATGAAGTGGATAAACCGTTTCACAAAGCCATGACAGACATGATATTGATATATCGCGATACTAGCAGCTCAAGAACATAGTCTTTGTCACAATCCATTTGATTTATCACGAATAACCCAAAACAAGTTTTGGGGCGAAAATAGTTAAAAAAGAAACATATACAAATAAACTCTCCTAAAATAAAAAACAAATAGTGTCATTATCAAATGTACATCATCAAACAATTTGCATATTTCTGTAAAGATTCTTAAATTGAAGAAAAACCGGTGAGTGTTTTTTTCTCGGAAATCGAATCAAAAGGTAGTTGAAGGATACCGTAATGTGATAGTTTATCAAGACATACTTTTTTTGTTTATTGTGATGAGAAATTTTAGGCAAAATACCTTTTCTCAGCCAGTTTTTATTCTAGAGTCTCATAAATACTCGTTATATGATTTGATATTGAAAATATAATTTGGAAGAAGTAATTAGAGAGGGAATAATAATGCACATATAGGCCCCAAAGGTATGATGGTATCCTAAGAAAGACTATGAATCGACTATGGACAACGGTGTGTAACATTCTTATCTCTAATATATTTATATGTTATAGTTTAATGATTTGTGATTTAATGATTATATTCAGCTTTTTAAAATTTCTGTATAATTTGTATTATCACTTCTTTACATTTGCATTTCGCATCCCAGAGAATTACGTACCAAACTCGTCTATATTTTTCTCAAAATGATAGTGAAACTGGAATAGCAACAAACCGACTTGTGATGGCGTTTTACAGCAATTAAAAAGATATGACGGGTTCGGAGCAGTGACAACTCATTGTCGCGGAAGTTGTCGCTCATCTTGGCAAAGACGGCTTTGTGAAACACTTAGCTGACAATTTGTGTGACAGTGTCGAGATGTCGTTGATCTTGTAGTTATGACGGTTTCAAGAAACGGCCCGAAGGAAACATACTGAAGGATTAAAGGATAAGTCCAACCTGAGATCAATTTAGTTTTAATAAAAGCATAAATATGAAAGAACCAAATTAGTCTAGAGTCTAGTGAAAGTTTGAGCAATATCCGATCGAAAATAGAAAAGTTATGAATTTATGAAACATCAGTGGAACACAAATTGGGAACGTCACTACATATTTTGCAAGCTCTTCTCCAGTTTGCTATGTAAAGAAGATGTCCGTAATAGATTTGTGTCATACAGAAATACAGGGTTGTATAAATACATAGTTGTGATTATTAAGGGTGCGTATGATTAAAAATATCTATTAGTCTACACATCTATTCCTTCATCAACAACTAAGAAAATTAAAGTTTATGTCATTTCCTGCAATGCAAATTGCTTTAAATAAAACCAACTAGATCTATATATCAGGGTGGACTACCCCTTTAAACCCGCGTTCAAAATAATCCAAGCATAGCATAAGTATTAAAACTATTATTAAAGGTGGGCAAGTAAATTCATTATTTTCATATAGACTAATCTTCCTTATTTTTATTTGTCATCGTTTTTTGTTGTTGAAACTTTCTCTGAGTCTGAGCTGACCTGCCTGTTTCTTTCATTTTTCTGCTTCCGTTAAAACAAACTCATTATCAGGGGGGACTTCCCCCTTAAGAAAAGAATCTACAAACAAGTAAGGCTCAGCATACTTACCTAGATCTATACTTCAAGAACTAACAGAGAGCAAGCAATGTCAACAACGTAAAGTACAAGGATCAAGATCAACAAACATATTTGTTATGGAACGCTGCAAGTGGAGATTTGCTTGGATTTCCCCTTTAATAATCTATTTAATAGTTTAACGTTTAGTTAAATTCATAAAAACGAATGACGGCTTTAGTATTATTCTTAATAATGTAGGGATGTGGTTATAAGCTTTATATTGAATATGCAGTCACTTAATTTGCATAGTTTTGATTTGAAACAAAAATCAAGTGTATGGACCGCTAATATTTGGAACGGTGAAAAAGCAAAAAATGGCAGCGCCAAATGATTTTTTCTCTGGAGTAATTGGGAAAGTAGCTTTCGTCAATAAAGTAAGAGTAAAGTTCATCCTGTTAGGATTTTTGTTGTATGTTTAAATGAAGGTTTTATTTGGATTATTGCGTGTGCATGAGCCCAGATTCAGTGTCGAGTAGACATGACTCTTTAGATTTTCTTACATTGTAGTCCTATCTGCCCGATATCGTGTTGGATTCAACTTCATGACAGTTGTGCAAAATAAATCGCACTTTAATACCACCTACCAGTACTAGTAGGGGCGCTTGTCCGAGAATGAGGATTGTCCGCATAAACGAGCATATCCTCGTAAATGTGGATATATTGCATCCTAGTAAAAAATAAGGTCCTTTAAGGATCTTTTTTTTTTTCTTCATCGGCGCTCTGTGAGTTTCTGTTTCCTGGCTGAACTGCGCGCTGGCGATGCTAAAAACGGATTCCGCATAAGAAAATAACCCCAGTTCACCGTCTACTTTTATGGGTTGTCCTTCTTCCCGGGGATATTTTGCTCATAACGTGAAAGTCTCTGTACAATACTACAAATTCAATGCGGAATCCGTTTTCGCATCGCCAACGCGAGGATCGGAAATGAGAAACTTCTGCAAAAATGCGGACGTGTCTGGCTGCGTTTACGAAGACGATCCTTGTTTATGCAGATGATGCTTATTCGGTGCTTGTTCAGAAACCTATCCAAAATTTGAGACGTAACTCTGGCGTGGAGACAGGCCTGCGTGGAGATACCCTACTAATAGTAATAGTAAAACATAGACTCTACCCAAAATGAAGTAAATATTCATTAAATATCCAAATGAAGATCATGAGTTAAAAGTCGTTATGTTTATTACCAGTTTCGTGTCAATTTTCTTGTTATTTTCAGAGTATTTTTCGGATAGTTCTCTCGGTAACTGTGTTAATTTATTATGGGCATTCCCAACTCAAGCTATGCTTTCCGGGTTTTAGCCTCCTTCCGTATCTGAATTATTTACTGTATACTCTATGTTGAAATAATTGTTACGTATATCATGTACAGTATATATACATTGTGTTTTATATTGTACTGTTGAGAAGGAAATAAATGTTAATAAATACAAATACAAATATAAAATAAACGTTGATATTAGTATACGCAGGGCTCGAATTACCCACCGGCAATCGGCAATTTGCCGCCATGCCCCTCTCACTGGCCGGAATGCCCTTTTCAAAATCAAACCGTTTACGGCCACTATATCTTAATCCACAAAAGTTTTGCCGACATTATAGTCATCATAAGTCAACCCCGACTTGTATGTTCAAACAGACTTCGTTGCCCCTACGGAGATCTAAAAACAATAATTATCGGCAAGGTTTTGTTGCCCCTACGGAGCTCTAAAAACAATAATTATCGGCAAGGTTTTGTTGCCCGTACGGAGCTCTAAACACAATAATAATCGGCAAGGTTTTGTTGCCCGTACGGAGATCTTAAAACAATAATGATCGGCAGGGTTTTGTTGCCCCTACGGAGATCTAAAAACATTAATTATCGGCAAGGTTTTGCTGCCCCTACGGAGATCTAAAAACATAATTATCGGCAAGACTTTGTTGCCCCTACGGAGATCTAAAAACATAATTATCGGCATGCCTTCGCTGCCCCTACGGAGATCCAAAAACAATAATTATCGGCATGCCTTCGCTGCCCCTACGGAGCTCCAAAAACAATAATTATCGGCAAGATTTTATTGCCCCTACGGAGCTCTAAAAACAATAATTATCGGCAAGGTTTTGTTGCCCCTATGGAGCTCTAAAAACAATAATTATCGGCACAAAAACCGAAATGACTCCTGCTTAGTTTTTCAATCCATCTCCATCCTTTTTATTTGGACCAATGAACATCAGGAAGTTTTGTTTACCCATCGTTGGTTCAACATCTTCATTTCGCGTTGTGACCTTTTTTGGTGCGTTTTTAGATTTTTTAATCAGTGAAAAACTTGGAATTTTCTCGGGAATTAAATCAGAAGAGGATTAAAAGTTGAGATAATGATAAATCGAATCGTCTTCTTTCCCATACGTTTTAATTAAAACGTCATAGCTTCCACGCCTCGCGCGTGAGGGGTGGGAATTGATTTCAGAAAAGGATTAATGGTCGATAACGGTACAACGAATCGTCTTCTGTCTCTAATAGTTTATTAAAAACATACAAGCTTCCGCGCTTCCCATGGAATTCAGAAAAGGATAAAGAGTAAAAAAAAGGTACATCGAATCGTCTTCTTTCTCTAATTATTTATTAAAAACGTCTAAGCTTCCCGTGGAATTCAGAAAAGGATAAAGAGTCGAGAACGATACAACGAAAGTTTTCTTTTTCTAATAACTTAATGAAACGTCAAAGGGGGATACTCCCCACTCCCACTCCCTCCACCCTCCACCTACCTGACGGGCGGATCCAGCCGGTGGGAGGGGAGGGGACCAAAGAGGGGGCCCAATTCGTGGAAGAATATTTAGCGCCAAACAGCCAGCCTGTTAATAAGCGGGGAGAGGGGGTAGTGAGCACTATTTTGTTTTGCTCCCAAAAATTTGAAAATCGCGCCGGCCGATAATTCGCTCAGTTGGGGGGGGGGGGGGGGGGGGGGAGTAGTGAGCTCCATGAAAACGGCGTGAGGTGATTTTACGCGCACTTTCCACTTTGGCCTTAGTGCCCCTTAGGATAGATTTGTGCCCCTTTGGATAGATTTGTGCCCCTTTCAGTGGATTTGTGCCCTCTCAAGAAAAGTGGCCTTGACCCAAATTTTATGTAATTCGAGGCCTAATACGTACACTTTTTCACAGGTTTCATGGCAAACCGCTACACAATACCTATATTACGGTAAATAACTTCACACAGACGCGCGCCCGCCCGCAACCCACCATCGGAATGCACTCGTATTAAAATATGTGCCCCAAGATAAAGATAAAACGAAAAAATGAAAAAATGAATACTGTGTAATGTAGATGTGCTAATAGTTGGTAACAATCAGGCGCGTAGCCAGGGGGAGGGGGCTGTGGGGGCATCGCCACAAAAAAACGCTGGCCAAAAAAAAAAAAAAAAAAATAAAAGAACAAAGGAAGAGGACGTAGGAAGAAAAAAGATTAAGAGTCGAGAACGGTACAACGAATCGTCTTCTTTCTCTAATAATTTAATGAAATGTCAGAGCTTCCGCGCTTCGCGCAGCAGGAGGGGGGGGGGGAAATGAATTCAGACAAGGATTAAGAGTCGAGGACGGAATGCACTCGTATTAAAATATGTGCCCCAAGATAAAGATAAAACGAAAAAATGAAAAAATGAATACTGTGTAATGTAGATGTGCTAATAGTTGGTAACAATCAGGCGCGTAGCCAGGGGGAGGGGGCTGTGGGGGCATCGCCACAAAAAAACGCTGGCCAAAAAAAAAAAAAAAATAAATAAAAGAACAAAGGAAGAGGACGTAGGAAGAAAAAAGATTAAGAGTCGAGAACGGTACAACGAATCGTCTTCTTTCTCTAATAATTTGATGAAACGTCAAAGCTTTTGCGCTTCGCACGGGAGGGGGGAAACTCCCCCCTTCCTGAAATTAAATCCTGGCTACGCGCTTGGTAACAATATGAAACATTTTTCTTGTTTGACAGTGGCCATTGCTTTTGAAGGCGACTCAGGACGATGATATTCCAACTCCTGGTTATCTCTTCAAGGAAATAGCAGGCAAGTTTTCTGTGTTTATTATAGAAATGTTCCTTCTCATTGGCCATTTTCACTATTGCGAATGTTCATCCCCTTCCTTCTTATGCTTATCTGATGTTGGGTGATTATTTGCCATGTGTCTTGAGTCACATATATCATATGTCCATTCATTAAATTAAGAAAAATGAAAATGTCATGGTATGACCTTGTAGTAATAACGCTATAAAATGGTCATAATCAAGATATTTCTCATTTTTGGATGAAATAAATAGAAAAGGATGAAGAGACATAGCTCGTATGAGACGATTTGCACTGAATTATCCTACAGTAAATGCTATTTTCATTCCAACATCATGGCAGATTATCTACCATAAATGCCACTCTCCCCTGTATCTGGCACTGGTCATTGCATTCTCTTACCCCCCTACCCCCCTACCCACCCCCAACACTGCTGTTGTGTCGGTCATGTTTTGAAAGAACTTAAGTTCCAGTTTCACATTCTTTTTATGTCATTTTGGAAAATAACATGAAAATAATTGCTCTTCTAATTCTGTCGTATTCAAAAGAAAACAAAATGAACTGAAGTATTTGGATCAAACAACCTACATGCAACTTGTACTTGTAGTCCCATATTCACATTTCTGCATTCTGCAAATGTGACTTTCAGCAAGATTGGATATACTTCTTATAATGTTGGTGATTCCAACACAAAACACTATACTCCAATTCTTATATACATGTAAGGTAGTACATAATCCACCTTTCCAAATTGCTTCACAGCGGTTCCTTTCAAATCTTAATCATATGAGACTGGTGGAAGGTTGTAATGTAAATGAATCATTAAATTCTTTGAAGACCAGACTGACCACTCATGGGTTTGGTTGAGTCAAGTAGAGTAATTTTATTAGAAATACAGGAAAATTTGGTCCAGTGTGAGAAAGATTCAAGTGCTCTATTGTAAGTGAGCATTAGCATGCAAGTGTTATGTTTTAGATATTGTATTTAAGAGAGTTCTCTTGGATGTTCTTCAGGAAGAAGGAAAAAAATACACATATTACAAGCACTTTAAATAGTTTTGATTAATTTCTTGATTTTTATTAGCAAATATGTGTGTCAAATGTACTTTCTATGTTGAGTTTACAATTCTACATGACTTGTTTATGATTCTCTTAAATTCACAGATATTACATATGAATCTGGAAGTAATTGTCAATGTTTGGTTGACTTCCTGGTGGAGAGACTAGAGAAGAAATCGTGCCACATCAAATACAAGGTATGGCTCTAGTATACAAATAATGCATGTGAATTAATTTATTTTACGTTCTATCTGCACTCGAGTTGAGACTGTATGCAGCTAGCAAAGTTGTCAGGCTGAGTATGTACAGTAGGTGCATACATGTATGTACAGCCTCAACAAGAGCAGATAGATCTTATAATGAAAGAATGAAAACCGGCATCATTTGTTTCATATAATGAAACTCCTAGATCCTTGTTACTTGATGTAAAAAATAATTAATGTCAAGATTGCTTTGTGCCATTATCATTGACAAATGAATCCCAAGTTTAATAAAAGGCTTAATAGGCCCACCACAGTATGAGTAAACTAACCTCTGCTGCACTTCACATGCTAAAAAAATTGTTGGATAGTACTGGAAAGTGAAACTATTGTCCGCTTTTTCATTTAAAAGAAACATTGGATAGACCCAGTAAATTAATCACATGTGATCACATTTGACCAATTATTTGATTAGGATCTATGAGTGAGTTGTATATATAAAAATGACTGAGGTTGAGACATAAACAGAGAGACAGAGAGAGAGGGAGGGAGAGGGGGTGGGGGGGGGGGGGTGAGAGAGAGGGGAGGAGGGGGGGGGGGGGGGGGGGGTGAGAGAGAGAGAGAGAGAGAGAGAGACCAACAAGTGAGATTGGCAAATAAGGTAAGGGGGCAAAAGACAGAGAGCTAGGTGTATCATGGGTATGAAGAAAGAGAGGTAGAATGAAAAAAAAAGGAAGAATGGCAAGGAGAAAGGTAGAATATGAAGAAAATTCAACAAAGAAGTAACAGGGAAAATGAGAGAAATAAAGAAATATAGGCAGAAAGAGAGAGAGAGAGAGAGAGAGAGAGAGAGAGAGCAAGAGAGAAAAAGGACAAGGCAAAAGGTTATAATAGAAAGAATCAGATAAAAGTAATCAATTGTAAATAGTAACAATGCAAGAGAGAGAAATAAAGCGAGATGGGGCAGAGAGGGAGAGAGAGAGAGAGAGAGAGCGAGAGCAAGAGAGAGAGAGAGAGAGAGACACACACACACACACACACACACAAAAAGCTGAAGTGTTTGACATTTATTTATTATAGATATTTGTGCAGATCACCAAAAAAGAAGAAGTGGGAGAACAGTGTAGAAAAAGAGAAAGCTTTGTTAAAGAGAGAAAGTGGGGATAGAATCATGGACAAATAATGCAAATAAAGAGCTGTCAACAGAAGAGAGAGAGGATTTTATTTTCACCAGAGGAATTTCCTGTATACCGTATCATGGTAATCCACAAACAGAAATTCAAATGTGTCAGAGTGTTTCTTTGAAGGAGTAAGAACTGATGTGAATGAAGCTTGAAGCCCCTTTCCAGGTCCTGCTGATGGGTCCTGGTCTCCTGGAAGCTGAACCATTTTTTGAATCATTTTCAAATGACAATTATTTAAAATATATTATATGAAAATGTTGCAGTGGAATTTTAACCTGTTGTTTCAAAATTCAATTGAAACTTGTTGCTTTGACATGTTAAAACCCTATTAGACCACCAGCTGGTATTTTCTTTTTATATATCATCTTCATATACCACTGGTCAATGTTTTGTCATTTGTCTTATTAGGTTCTTAAGATAATGCTTCATTTGGTTGAGCAAGGCCATCCATCTTACTGTGAAGGTCTAAGACGTAAAGCTCAGGGGATCCAATCATCTGCAAGTAAGTCTTATTTATAAGTTTGTTAAAAATATTCATTATTCTTAGAATAAAGTTTTATTTAGATAGATTATGTTTTTATGTCATAAAGGTATTATTCCTCCTAGTCTATCAAACAAATTTCTTTTAAATTCTGAAGTACATTCATATATAACTAGACAATCATCTCATTTTCATTTACCACTTATCAAAACTTCTGTCTCTAAAAATTCAATTTTCTTTAAAGGACCAATTTTATGGAATGAGTTACCTCCTAACGTTAAATCAAGCCCAACTCTGAATACATTTAAAAGAAGATACAAACAATTACGTTTTTGTGAATAGTATTTTATTAGTTTTTATATATGCAATCAGGTTTTAGATGTTAGGTGTTAGTTGTTATGTGTTAGGTGTTAAGTTTTATAGGTTAAAGTTGTCGCTAGGGACCAGCCCCACACAAGACTTAAATGTTCTTTCTTGCTGGTTCCTCATTCGTATATATATATGTATTTTATGTTTGTCTTTCGTCATGTTATTTGTATGTACTTTACTTATCTGTAAATATCAATGTTTTAATCATGTATGTTTTTTATATGACGAATGAAATAAAATGAAATGAAATGAAATGAAAAATGAAATGAAAATTAGTGAAATGTATTTACCTGAAAAAGACACTTCCAGAATGCAAAGTGCATAATTAATGATGTTTGTTAATTAAAAGTTCTTTTTTGACATATCTGAATGAAAGTTTAGCTAACATTAAGCCTAATTTAGATGGTACATGCATATACCGGCTTTATGACCTAACAATCTTGCGATGAAATGTTGTGATGAAATTGACATTATTCCAATATATTTTTTGTATACATGTACATGTATATAATTACATTTCTCTGACAGCACCCCTTGCTAGGACCTTTGTTATGTGCAGCCTTTTTTGTCACCCCAAACTTTCAATTCATTTGGTACCAACAAAACGCACAGATCTACCATGGTTTATGAGTATAAATTTTCAATTTCATAGTGACATGAATTTTGTTTTAATTTTCTGTAATATTATGGAATGGAGAGGTTGACACATGGCTCCATAAATCAGTAGACTATAATTTGTCCTAACATATGTGCTTTTTCTTTTTCAACAACAGAGTGCAGTGGTCCCCCTGACCCCCTCCACGGTATGGCCCCCTACGTTGCTGTGAGAAAAGCAGCTAAGGTAAGTAAGAAATTAACTTTACCTTAGGAACTCTTGGTTTAACCTTTGAACTTCCTCCAAACCTAGGAGAGTGTTCTATTTCATTTTGGCATGAATTCTTTCATTTTCAAGTTTAAGTTCATGTAATCCAGTTAGTAAACTGCATGTTTTTCCAAATACAGAATTTTCTGAGTTTATTGTTAAAAGAGAAATTCAGTGATCAGATTTCAGCTCATTTGCTTGAATAAATAAATAGACAAATAAATCTGTATTCTGGAATAAATATAATATTCTGTTCTTTAATAGCACGTATTCATAATACAGTTATAATGTCCCATATTCACTTCCAAAAAGATTTAGAAGTCAATACCGTAGCTATAGCTCCGGTAGCCATTCTCAGTGCACAGCTAGTGCATTTCAAGTAGTAATCCTAAAAAGTACTATTTACAGAATTACTACGTAATAAGTAAAAAAATTCTGGAGGAAGAGACAAATTTGTATAGTTGTCTTCAGGTGAATATTTTATGGTGATGAATATTTTCATTTTGTTTGTACAGGCTTTGAGTGAGAGGTTATTTGACACAGAGGTCACACACAGCAGACCATCCAATCATGCTTGGAAGCAGGGTCACATGACACATGGCACAAGGCAGTCAATAGAGGGCACCACCAAGAAGATGGAAGGATTTGGGAATACTCCAGTTGTATCACAGAGTAAGATGCTTATTTACCGTGCCATACACACCTAAACAAATGCAATGAGATGTATTTGAAAAGTCTGCTTTCTGTCCTTGAGTTTACATGTAGAGGTATTATGTTTCTTCCTGTTAAAACCCACTTTCAGTTTGCAAAGATAGTTTTTTTTTAATTTGTATAATTATCATTAGTCTAATCAATTGTTAAGGCAGTGGTCATGTGTTAAGGCAGTGGTCATGCAGGAATGGGTCGTATCAAATTTATTCTGACCTTATTTTTCCCCTATTCATTTTTTTTGTTGTTGGGAGGGGGGGGGGGGTGACCCCTTTGCTTCTCTCTACCTCAATCTGCCTATGACATGGTATGAGTATTATGTACAGATTCATACTTTGACCACTCAAAAATTACAGACTTTCTTGGTAAGACCATGTGGTAGCCTTAGTGAAAATGCTGTTGATATATTCTTTCGTCAAAAGGCTACCACATGGTATCACCGAAAGCCTCCAGTCGTAAATACTCAATTGCCATGGAAACCTACAGAGAACAACTTAAAACAATTTGTAACATAACTTGTAATGGCACAGCAGGGGTTAAACAAATTTAAAATATCATCCTACAGAGCCAGTCACCATTGAATCTCTTGGGGAGACAGTGAAGGGCGGCTTACAGCAGATAGCCAGCAAGCTGAGCGGGGAGAATAAAACTGCAATGACCTTTAACCAGGCTGATACAGGTTACAAGCCTCTCCATGGATACGACCCGACCTCCAACCATGGTCTTCAGAGCCCAGTAAGGCAGAGTGAGTAATTTTTTTTTGCATCTTCTTTTTAGTCTTATAGTATTGACTCCAATTGAAATGATTTTATTAACCTAATATACAACCTAAAAAAACACATAATAATTAACATATTTTAAAAATAAATTATTCATATCCTTTGTATTAAATTGTAATGTTTTTTGTGTTTTTCGTAACTCAGGAATAAAAGGTCAACGGGTTGAATTATAGCCTTTGTTGAATACTTTTAGATGTAACCCTGAGTTGCTGAATGTTTGTGCGACTATTCAAAAGAAATTACATATTTGAATTTCAGTTTAACATGGAACAAAAATCAGTGACAGGTATAACAATTTATGCACTTGTCTTTCATTACCAAGCCGATTATATCAAAATATTACAATGGAGTGTAAGGACAGGGCAAGATTGACAGGTGTTGTGTAAAACACCCCCCCCCCCCCCTAAAACGTCCCTGCAGATCCCCTATAATGTCCAGATAGTTACGGCCTGGTATACATAGAATCCCATTATCTTGTTTTGGACCCCAAGGAAAAAGGGGGAAAAGTACATAAGTGGAGCCCTTGAAAGGCTACCGTACATACTTTTCCATGAAGAAAAGATGATCGACTGTGTCTAAAATAGATAACATGGAGGGGAGGGGAGGGGGGTGTAAGGGAACCCCAAGTTTACCTTTCACAGGTTGGTTCCATTTCAAATCATCATCTATCCTTGCTGTTCACCCTCTACTCCTACCTGAGGGTACAGGGTGAAAAAGCACAAAAGTGAAGCCCTTCAAAGGCTAAATAGTTTTCCATGACAGGAGGATGGTCAATTGTGTCGTGGTCGAGTGAATACGTCCCCGGACTATCGATCACAAGGTCCGCGATTCGAGTCCCGCCACGGCACTAATGTCCTTTGGCAAGACATTGATCTGTACTTGCCACACTCAACCCAGGTGATGTAAATGGGTACCTGGCAGGAAATAATTCCTTGAAATGCTGGAGCGCTGTAATGGCAGCTAGGCTAAAGCTGGGGTAATAATAAATGCGCCTTCGAATAGAATTTCTAGATAGATGGCGCTATAGAAATGCCTATTATTATTACCGTATTAACGGGGGGGGGGGGGGGGGGGGTCGTGGCCCCAAGTTTACCTGTCACAAGTTGCTTCTGTTTTCAAATCATCATCTATCCTTGCTGTTCACCCTCTATTCCTAGGCTTGATGAATAGCGGCTCTTCCCAGTGGTCTCCTCAGCATAGTATACCCACAGACTACTCCCCTGTTATGCTGGATGATGATGGGGATGAGACAAGGAGAGAAACCATCTCCAAGGCAACACAAGCATCATCATCATCATCATCATCAACATCATCAAGACGTTGGCAACATCCGAGAATAGATACTCCACATACTGAAGGGTCTTCTATGCTGAAAGGTATGTAGAAATATTTGTGATACATATATTGTATTGTCTTTTTATTGCTTTGTTTGCATTTTTATGCCTCCGTTACGAAGTATCCGGAGGCAAATTATGTTTTCGGGTTGTCCGTACGTCCTGTTTTCGTGATCGCGTTATCTCAAGAACCGATAGATGGATTCCTGCCAAACTTAGGTCATGTATGTATCTTGCGAAGCTAATGAATTTATTTGATTTTAGGATCACGAGGTCAAAGGTCACAGTGCTCATTGTGTATGCAAAAATTGCTTGTGATTGCATTATCTCAAGAACTGATTTATGGATTCCTGCCAAACTTAGATCATGTATGTACCTTGCAGAGCAAATGAACTGAGTAGATTTGGGGTCATGAGGTCAAAGGTCAAAGGTCATGGTGCTCATTTTATATGAAACAATAGCTTGTGATCACATTATTTTTAGAACCGATGGACGGATTACCATCAATCTTCGATCATGTATGTATCTCAAATGAACTGATTAGATTTGGGGTCATGAGGTCAAAGGTCAAAGGTCATGGTGCTCATTTTATATGAAACAATAGCTTGTGATCACATTATTTTTAGAACCAATGGACAGATTACCATCAAACTTAGATCATGTATGTATCTTGCAGAGCAAATGAACTGATTAGATTTGGGATCATGAGGTCAAAGGTCAAAGGTCTTGGTGCTCATTTTATATGAAACAATAGCTTGTGATCACATTATTTTTAGAACCGATGGACGGATTACCATCAAACTTAGATCATGTATGTTTCTTGCAGAGCCGATGAATTGATTAGATTTTGGGGTCATGAGGTCAAAGGTCGAAGGTCACAGTGCTCATTATGTATGCAAAAATAACTTGTGATCACGTTATCTGAAGAACTGATTGATGGATTACTGCCAAACGCAGGACATGTATGTATCTTGCTTAGCCGATGAACTGATTAGATTTGGGGTCATGAGGTCAAAGGTCAAAGGTCATGGTGCTCATTTTATATGAAACAATAGCTTGTGATCACATTATTTTTAGAACCGATGGACGGATTACCATCAAACTCAAGACATGTATGTATCTTGCAAGGCCAATGAACTGATTAGATTTTAGGGTCATGAGATCCAAGATAAAAGGGTCAAAAATGTATATGAAAAATAGGTTGTAATCACGATATTCTGAGAACCTGTTATCAATGGATTACAATTAAACTTGAATTTGGAAAATTGGTTCTGTTTTGGTTTGTGAAATCGCTCTATGGCGGAGGCATCATTTTCGACTGCGCGCAGTCAAAGTTATTGCTATTAAGGTTGGATTTCCTTGAACGTATCGTATAGAGGCTCTGCCGGATGCATACCAGATCCATTGGAGCGCTAGAAGAATCACCTTTATGTTTTAATACTTGATTGAAGCAGGGCTGGAATTTGTATGATGCAGTACATTGTTTGAACTGCTTTCTTCTTTGTATAGTACCCCTTTCAGTGTGTAATTTCTTCTAATATTCTTGCAAATTATTAGTCAAATCTGTATTCGAGGCAATTAGTTGTGTTTTATAGATGTCCTAAGATAGAATGTTGCATTTTATTAAAGGTCAATCGTAAAAATGTCTCTAACTTTTTTTTAAATGTAATTATTATTATTCTTTTTTCTTATGCTACAGAGGAAGACAATAATTTAATTGATACATCATCAGTATCAAGAGGGAGGCAAAGCAATGGATCAAAGAGCAGTGATCAGCTCAGTGGTGCAGGCTCAGATTTATCAGAAAGGTAAGATCTTTACTATTCCAGGTTAAATTATCCCTCCCTAATCTTTTCCTTTTTTAAGTAAATAACCTCTCTTTGATACGGTCATAGACAGTTAGACAGTAGCTTAGCATGGGCCAAGCCTTTGAAAGGGCAATAGCTTCATGGATAGGGGGGGGGGGGGGGGGGGGTAAATCGATCTTCTCAATGAGTGAAATGCAAGTAAGGCCACTAATGAGGGGCAGTGTGTGTGTGTATGTGGGGGGAGGGGGGGGGCTTTAATGTTCTTTTTATGCTTTTCTTCCCCCTTTTCCCTCATCTTTTATATTCTGTCTTTTTTTTCCCCTTTATTTTCTCACCTATTCAATCTAGGGTTTTTAACATTAGTATAAGGACCAAAAGTAGTTATCATTCTCCCAAATTAGGAATGATTGTACCGGTGTGTCGGCTCAGTCAGTAGAGCGTCTGCCTCACAACCGGGAGGTCGTGGGTTCAAACCCCGGCCGCGTCATACCAAAAGACGTTAAAAGACAGGAGTTGCTGCTACCTTGTTTGGCATTCAACATTGAAGGGATAGAGCAACGTCGATCTGGCGCTGCTCAGTTGCTGCTGGGCTCACGATCAATTGGGCAAAAAGAATTTCCATTTTCGGTTTGATAAAATTTGGAGTGGACTTTAAAAAAGATTATTATTATTGGCAGCCATTATTTTTGTGTCAGAGTCAGGAGTGCAGACTTCATCACCCCTCCCCCCAAAAAATTCTGATATGATGATTCTCTTCTTATCTTGTGTATCCCCTGCAGACTAGCATCAGTGAGTGTAACAGACTGGTCTGAGGAAGTCTCGACGGTAGAATCGTTCATCTCAGACCATCAGGAAGGCCGACCAACCCCAACCAAAGAGGAGCTTCAGAAGTTTGTTAAGAAGTATGTATACCTTTTTGATTTCCTTTCTGCTCTTATGTGTGATCACTACACTTTTGGATGCTGTGTTAGGTAGCTTAGCGAAATGTAGTAGCACAAAAAGACGTGTCCAGAACTCAAAATGCATATTTGTTAAAAATCATAATTTTATCACACTGAGGTACTGTAAATTCACGTCGTTAGGATATGGAGCTGGTCAATGCATCTCAATGAGTTTTAATGTTAGCTAAACTTTCATTCAGAACTTAACTTAACTTAATTTAACAAACATGCATGTAAGTGACTATTAGGCTTTTTGTGTTCCGGATGTGTCTTTTCGCGACACTACATTTTGCTTATCTGCCTTAGAGTATATAAGCGTGTTGTGGAAATATGTACATGTATGTATGCAGATCTATTTAATAGCTGACGCCTGATCAGAATCATGGATGTTAACATGATTGCCAGTTTGTACAGTATAATTCCTAGATAATGATTGGGGATTAAGATATTCAACTATCAAATCATAAACATCATGGGTGATATTTATCATCAAAACAACATAACAAGACAAAATCGCTTAAATGACACCCAATACTTTGGAAAGAATCTTTTATAAGTCAATGAAATTGGTCATAATGACCAACTTCAATGGGTTACTGCATCAATCTCTTCTATGAAACAAGCCAGTCACAGCTTTCTTGTGGTTCCTGTTATCTCCAGTATCAATGCCTACTTGCCTGCCTACCCTAGCAGCCTTTGAGCCTGGTGAAAGGTTGCTTCATACAGCAGTTGTGCCTAGTTTGCTACCAGCAGAGCGGAGCTATGTGTTTGAGAAGCAGACTGGTGAAAGTTTAGTGCAAATCAGAGGAAGATTAATTTTTTAAAGTTATTTCTGGACAACTTTCCCAATGTCAATTCACAATATGACTAAAATGTCAATTGTACAAAATGTATGAGTCATGCAGGGTTTTTCCTTTCTAGAGGACCTAAAATAATGCTATATTTTAGCGATTTTAAGATAGTTCCTAAACTAAATAATGTATTCGCTCGGACATAATCTACTCCTCACAGTATAAATGCACACATGCATGCAAACCCACCCACTCACACACATTCACGCACACACAACACACTCACACACCACTGAACTCTAACACTGTGTGGACTGGGCGCCACGGCTGAGTGCACGACGCCGGTTCCTCTTATTGTCCGCCATTTTGATTTCCCCAGAAATCACGGCCGGGGAGAAGCAGGCCTGCATTGTGTTGAACAAAAGTGTTTCTATGTGTGTAGGAGAGGGGGTATGAGGTAATGCCGCAAGAAATGTATTGTTTTAGATTTTCATAACTTAAAACAATATATTAATGACTGTTCTAGGACAATTACCTTCTGGACAATAACCCCCCCCCCCCTCCTCCAGCCAATTACCAACGGGACAATTAGCCCTGGGAAATTACCCCCCCCCCCCTACCCCCAGAAAATTACCTCCTTGGACAATCACACACCTCTCTGTGCACAATTACCCCCCCCCCCTTTTGAAAATTCTGCCTCTTGGACAATCACTCCCCCCCCCCCTGGACAATTACCCCCCCCCCCCCAAAAAAAATAAAATAAAAAATAAATTAAAACAAACTTATTATCGGGGTGGACCTCCCCTTTAATGGACAGGGGGTAATTTCACTGGGGAGGGGTAATTGTCCTAGGGGGGAATACCATGGGGTGGGGGGTTATTGTCCTTGGGGGGGGGGGGTAATTTCCCTGGTGTTATTGTCATTTGGAGTAGTTTTCGGGGGGGGGGGGGGGCGGTGATTGTACAGGGGGCAGTTGTCCTGATACGATTAATGACATATTATCTGTGATTATATAAGAATGCATTCCAGATCCTCAGAGGCTTGGGTTGTTCAATAAATCCAAATAACCACAATCATACAAGAAATTCACACAAAAACACACAAAATCACGACATACAAGTTACATGTACGTACATGAATGGAGTAGCCTACAATTTATGATTAAAAATTCCAATCTTCAGAGGCTTATTATTTTATTAAAAACTCAACTTAGACACAATCATACACCACCTCTGTATGTGTTTGAGAGAAATATAACTTCATACACATCATCATACATACAAGTACACAAATCATTGTCATTCATACACAAAGATACAGTCACACAGACACAACTTTCAAGTCAACCAGTCCATCTACCAACATTTTACAAAAAATTCACATAAAAATAGCACTAGGAGACAATTTTATACTCAGTTATGCTTTATTGTTTGCAAAAAGTGACCATACCGGTAATCTACATGTTATTACAGAATTGCACAATAAACGTAGACAACGTTTTTAAATGACGAGGAAAAACAGGAGTAGTTCAAGTACTATTGCATATTTGTGACAATATAAAGGCTGTACTTTTTTTTTTTTTTTTGGTATGTTTTATTTAAACAAACCATGGGATTCACATACATGTATTTACAAGATTCGATTAAGGGAGAAAAAAAATACACTGTAACTTGGCATTATTATGAAATTCATGAAACATTAAAAATTCTAGTTGTTAAGTATATGTAGCTACATTCTAAAATGCCTTGAGATTATATGATACATTTTAATTCAAATATAATATATACAGTGTGAATCCCAAAAAAGTTTACACCTAGAAAATTGCTAATTATTTTAAAAATCATATATGAACAGTAAATTATTATACATCTTATGAAAAAGTGTTTTATCCCGAATCACTTATTATCATTTTTCTGTGGTGTTTGTTCACGCTTGGATAAACATGAGGCATTGTTTGCGATAATGTTTTAAAATGGCAAGGAAAAAAGGGGTATTTAAGTATCACTCCAATATTTGTGACAATACAGGGTGCTACAAGAATTTTTTTCACCACTTGCCCTGTCGGGCAAGTGGGTTTTCAATTTACTTGCCCAAACAATATTTCCACTTGCCCAAAACTTTAAAGCGAAAAAGGACTCGAGGTTAAAGCATTTATTATCTCGTAATGATAAGTTAGTGTTTTAGATAGCAAATTAATGCACATACATGTACAGTGTAACTGTACTGAATAATAACCTAATATGTCAAAGAAAATGGTCAACAAAGGATGGTTGAAGGTTTAAAAAACGCATTTTATTGATTCTCCATAAATAATCAGATTCACATGAATCTCGGCAAGGTAGAATGGTTCAAGCAGGTTTAAGTTTTTAATATTCAGTCATGTAAAAAAGCATAATGACCCTGTTGTAAAAAATATGATACAAACATGTCATTAATGGTAGCCACATGTACCATGGTGCAACATCACATGTGTGTCTGTGCAAGCCGCTGTCATTTGGAAACGTAGGCTAATTTTCAGCTGTTAATAATTTGGGTCAACTCTTCCATCAAGAAACGTCATGTAAATAATGGGTAATCAACTATTTTAAATAAAGTACGGACATTTTTATTTCATCATTCACTGCTATAAATATCATGCCAAAATTTGTAAATTCTTACTAAATAATAATATTGAAGATATTTTACGATAAATCTCGGATAAGTATGCGAAAACTAGACTAATAAAGGCTGTAACTTGGCATTATGGAGCATCTCCCTTTCTCTTATTTTCTTTTCTCCATCATTTATTAATTGAATAATACTTACATAAAAAACACATAATTGTAATGATTACAAAGAAAAATGCATAAATTATACTTATATCACAAAATTAATTGTATATGTTTTCTTAAAAGGTTACATTTTTTTTCCAGAGGTGATACCTTTCAACATCTGCCCTCCATAATATTTCCTTTAAATAAATCTTGAATATATATGTAAAATTTTCTTTTTTGTGAATATAGATCATGAGAAGCTAAATTGGTTATTATATTTTTAAAAACTGCATATTTTGAATTGATATAATCACATTGCTGGCCTAAAATTATATCACTGTAAATGTGTTTCATTATCAAACAATACTTCTGTCTTTCTGAGAAAAATTAAGACCTTGTTTATGAGTAATGACAAACATAAAATAAATGATAATAATTTTCTTTGCATTTGCACTTCAAACAATAATCATGATCAGATTCACATGCTGATGACTTATGGAGTACTTTTAAATTAAACTGTTTTAATCATATATCCTTGATGTCAAATAACTCTAATTCTTTTTCCATGTAATCACCCAGGAAAAAATTTTCTCTAAAAAATGAAACTATGTGTGATATGTACATATGATCATTTTATTTAGGAAAGTGTAATTCATGATACCTCTGAAATGCCTTAGGGTTAGGGACATTCAAATTTTATTTTACTTTTATTGAGCTACGTTCATATTCCAGTGATGAGAAAATATATTTGGCGACTGAATATTGCGATAGTTTTGTTTGCATCATTTGTATTTGTATTTGTAACTTTGAGATGAAGTGAGACATGAATTTGGTAAGTACCTATTTACAGACTGCAAGGATTGAGAAAAGTACATGACCAAATGGCCAAAACAGCATGAAAAATAATAAAAATGTAGTACACATGACATCCAAAACATAGTACAGAAGTAAAAATAAACATATAGCAAATACATGTACATGTACACTGTTTAACACTTGCACACATATCTTCCCAAGTGGTTTGTGCAAAAGACATTTCCAGCAAAGGTATGGTATGACATGATACATAAAGAAGCATAACAACTCATATCAGTGACTTATGGTGTAACGTAATTCCATTTATATATGGAGTGCAAAATAGATAACAGCAGCATGACTACAATAAACACAAACACAGAATGAATAATCACTGATGTGAGATCATTTTCTTTCATTCATTTTGTTGATTTTGATACTAATTTCAAACCTGTGATAAACTTATCACTGTGGTTCACGTTCATACAAATATTTTTCCCTATATCTGTGAGAACGACACAAACAAACACACAAAAAGACATTATTTACAATTATAGAACATTTCCATCTAGCACTCCATTGTGTAACTGATTGGAGACATATATTCATTTAGCCATCATAAAAGAGCACAATAGTCATTCAACAAGATTGATGTTGTGGTCTCTTTCCTATTTATTTTTAAAGTCACATATGGACACTTTATTTGATTATTATGGAAGATGATATATACATACAAGAGGGAAATGTGTACAATTATTTGCCTGAGCTCTGATTACTCAAGTACATTAAAGTTATAAAGGCTATTAAGGTGTAAAATGGGCAACATGTATAGAACAGGACTATATGTGGTACAACGTTAATACAATATTGATAATTAGGCAACAATCTACTACTAGTGCATGAGCTAAATTGTGTAGCCATGGGCATCACATTTGCAGCCGCTTTGGTAGTTTGGATACCCTTCCACCTTGACTATATCAGTCAATCCATGACAGATAAATACATTCAAGAAGGTAAATAGTGCGGTGAGCTTATGGTAAACTAATCACTGTTGTTTACTTTCACACTAATATTTGTCCCTATTTGAAAATCTGTTAGAAAAACACAAACAAAACAAGGGAGGATATTTACCATCTTTATTATTTCTGATCCTTGTTTTCATCTTATAGTGGAAAAACAAAGCCGAAAAAAGCAAGGTAAGTTCAATAGGCAAGAGAATCAAGTGGATCATCACACATTTGTTGGAGTTGCAATTTCTCGTATGAAGTGGAACGGAGGACGTCACAGTGGAATAGTAATCACTTTGATTGTTTTCTGTGAGAGTGGAAAGAGGAGGCATTGTTGTAGTTTCTGATGAAGAAGGACAAGGGTCATTGCTATCACCTTCAGCTTTATACAGACAAGTATCATTACATTCACATCTTAATTTGTATTCATCCAAAGTAGAAGAGCAACAAAAAACTGGCAGAGATTTCCTGATAAGAATAGTCTGTTGCAATGATGTGTGAGTTTCAATGGTGTCAGTGAGGAGTGGCATCCATAAACCATCCTGATAGCATTCAATCTTCCCTGATAGACTCCCAACCTGAGCTGTACAGTCTATTGAACCCCAGTCTCCTCCCTTATCATAACTTGCGACACACGATGCTTCACCAGGAGGATAGTCTACCTGCAGCCCAATTCTTGTTGTGTATTCATCACGTAGTTGTCCGTCCTTGTAGATAGTCGAAAGGTATGTCCCTTCATCACTTCTCATTAGATTACTTATTGTAAGATCCAGGGAGCAGTTTCCAATTTTAATTCTTATCTGCACTTTGAATCTATGGACCTGATCATCAGGCAATGCCAGTGATGACCCATCTGTAGAGCGATAAAATGGGGCTCTGGCCGATTGCTGTAATGTGACTTCTGTACTATCACATGGGTATGGGAAAATCAAGTTAGCTTCTTGCCCTTGTATTTTATATAATTGTGTGGATTTACATCCATAAAAATTCAGGACAAAGATAGAAACTATTGATATTGGGATTTTAAATCCACCAGGCAAGGAATGAAACAAAACTTGCAACATTTTGAATTATGGTTTGATTCAGGTATTCCAAAAAAAAAATTAGTCCAAAGTTATCAAAATTCTATATAATTCACAAACAATAATAATCCACCTTTGACATCCAACTCAATTAAATATTTCCAGATAGAAATGAGATGGCTAAAAGGCAGCAAGTTGTTTAGATGCAATCTATTCTTTAGCTAGCAGCCACACATCGACTGGTTCTCTGACATGAATCCTGCAGTAATTGTAGCCGTAATGTACTGTATTTTTTTCAAGCTTTTATTGTTTGTGATGGATTCTTCAACTGGAGATTATCAGCTTGTAAAAATCATCAGATTGGGCAATTAGAAGTACAGCAAAAGTTGATCTATCAGCCAGGACTGACTAATTCCCGTCTTAACCCTTCGCCTACAGGAACCTGGTCGTCTCCGTATAAATTAAGTCTATGTAGGTTAATTATAAAGCTTGATTTCAATTCGATACAACATCAATCAACTCTCTATGTAGGATTCAGCGGTGGTAAAGAAATGGCCTTTAGAGTAACTTGAGATGCACGATCTGTCATATCCGTCTCCTGGATGTGTTAGAGGGAAAAAAATAGAGTAGGTGGAACGTACGTACGACGTAAATTGGGTGATAGTTACTCTATGGTCACCAGCTCTTGCTAATTTCCTAACTTCCACCCAGGAACCCTACACTATACCTATCCCTTGGCCTAACCAACCAAAAATATAACCTAAAACCCTATCGAAAGTTCAAAACCCAATCTCTGACCAAACACTGGTAATGATATAATAATTTTGTTTACCCAGGCCAGGGAAGCCTCATCAGCATCAGTTCTGATCTTCTTCCCTAGGCCCTGCAATTACTTTTATCCAAGCTATCACCAGTTACCCATACATCTTGTGCAGAGTGGCAAATGTGGCTTAATCTTTTATCAAAGGAGATTAGGGACAGCCTGGGTTTCAAACCCTTAAAGGCCAAGTCCACTCCAAAAAAAAATTACTTTCAATAGAAGCAGAACATTCAGACAAACCAATCAAAAAAAGTTGGAGTAAAATCAGATAACTGAAAAAGTATGAAAAAGTATGGAACAATGGAAATCACTACATAAATTGCCAATTTGGTCATCAGTTTGTGACATCATTTCCTCAAGTCTATTCATTAATTGCTTTATATATATTTCTATCCATGAATTTCCCTTTTTCCTCAAAACTTGATTTCCCCATGCCTTTGCCCAAGTTATATGATTTGAATCATATTGCGTGCATGACATATAAATCTTTTATGAACTTTGAAGTATTGATACCATTTTCAGTGGATATTGTATATTCATAATCATTGATTCTTATATAAATAGTTTATGAAAATTCACATCTTTTATGATTTAACTGGAAAAAAACACACTCTATATTATTATTAGTGCATCCACACAAAAACATATTACTATCAACATAACTTGGATGCTGGTGTGAGGAAATAATATTCTTAAAGGGAAAATGGGAAATTTATATAATCAATATAAAGAAAAGAATTAGTGGATAGTGAGGCAATGATGTCACAGACTCATGAGTGAGTTGCCAATTTGTCTTGTGATTTTCAAAGTTGTTCATGTCATTAAAAACTCATAACTTTCTTATTGGTTATTTGATTTTGCTCAAACTTTTTTTTTGATTGGTTTGTCTGATTTTTCTGCTTCTATTATAAGTAAGTTACTTTTGGAGTGGACTTGCCCTTTAACCCTTGGATTAAGAGTCAAGGGAGTGAACCACTAAACCACGACACCTCCATATATGTTCGGAGGAAAGAATAGATCACCAGTAGGCACTTGAAGTTCAAAGCAGATCAATATACTTTGACTTCATTTTTATGTACTTCTTTGTGAGTACGATGTGAGAAATTAATGCTTACATCTAAAAGTATTCAACAAAGGCCCTAATTCAACCAGTCCACATTTCATTCTTGAGTTACAAACAACCCCGAAACATCAAATTTACAAGGGTTTTGAATGCTTTAATTGTTAACTATATGTTCAAGTTCAAGTTTATTTGTCTTTCAGAAATCAGTAACATGTAACAAACATTAAAAGTATCATCTACACACTGTATTCCATAGCACACAATGTAGAACTAAGAAAGACGTGGAGACCTTGGTTGAAGCACAGCTTGTTATCTTAACATTTGAAACACTTATATTTTGCTTCAAACTAGAAAATATAATTATAATATAAAGCAATCACAGATGTTGTGATTTTCACTTTAAATCAAATAACAGTACATGCACATCGTTATATACAAGATGATATATAGTAAACAAATGATACTCTTACCTAAATCCTTTATTTGCTTAAATTCAGTTGCTGCTTCTAAAAAAATGTAGCTATACAACTCCAATAAAGATCACATGAAGCTGTTTGTGTCTTGGGGATGGTGGAAATTCCCCGCCATCCAAGTTCCGCCTAACAACAGAGAATATAAATAGCATCCAATCAACGAGTTCAAAGTCAACCACATGATATTGTCCCATTCAGCCTTGTATGAAATGTGGAATAAATGAATAACAGTACAGTGAAACATTGTATTTAAATCCTGATTGGAATGTCACTTATTTGCCCATTCACATGTGGGATAATTAATGTACATAAGTATATTTTCAACAATTCTCATAGATATTAATGCAAAATGATAGAATAAAGGTTAGGTAATTTAAATCAAAAGACAGCCATGATATCCAACCATTATTATCTCATTTCCTTTCACAGTATATATGTATATATATATATATATATATATATCTATAAATAGGTACTGTAAATATATATATATATATATATTACTATTTTAAGGTGATAGGTATACTATGTGTGATTATGCTTTGCGTGTGAACAGCCCGTGTGGTGTACACACCACGTTCTCTGTGTACTTGAATGTTAGGTCCAAAGTCCACACAATCGAGCCTGCAGGGTAGCATTAAGTATGAAACATATAATGACATACAAGTACACCTCACCCTCATACACAGTTACACACATACCCTCAGAGTCTGTGTGTATTTGTGACCAGCTGGTCCCTCTAATGCATGAGGATGCATGCACAAATACACACTCCCACATAAACACACATATACACCAATAAACAAAGGCCCAAAGAAAATCACAATACATAATTGCAAATATATAAATGCATATTAGGTTCAAATTAATAACCAAACATTTTCAGTATTAATTCTTTCATAGTATTCAGTAAAAATAGACAGAAAATATATATAGTATTTGAATAAAATTTCTCACATATTGTAAATAATTCATTGTACAGATGAATCCACCATTAGGCCTAAAAAAAAAAAAGTTGTATTTTTAGGCTAATATTTCTCAGTTTTTAATGCTTTATTATTATTTTTCTCAAAAAAATGGGGAGAAATTTTTTTTTTTAAAAAGCCGACTGTAGATTTCAAGATTTTTGGGTCAGTCGCAAAGGGCAATACAACATTTTTTTTTTTAGGGCTTATTCTAGCTAGGAATTATACAACTGATCGTTGCTCAATAATCTTCTGTCCCTCAACAAAAAGGAAAGTTAAATGCTAAGTGGTTGGAAACTGGTATCAAAGTACCCAAAAAGAAAAAGACCAGCTGGTCCCTCTAATGCATGAGGATGCATGCACAAATACACACTCCCACATAAACACACATATACACCAATAAACAAAGGCCCAAAGAAAATCACAATACATAATTGCAAATATATAAATGCATATTAGGTTCAAATTAATAACCAAACATTTTCAGTATTAATTCTTTCATAGTATTCAGTAAAAATAGACAGAAAATATATATAGTATTTGAATAAAATTTCTCACATATTGTAAATAATTCATTGTACAGATGAATCCACCATTAGGCCTAAAAAAAAAAAAGTTGTATTTTTAGGCTAATATTTCTCAGTTTTTAATGCTTTATTATTATTTTTCTCAAAAAAATGGGGAGAAATTTTTTTTTTTAAAAAGCCGACTGTAGATTTCAAGATTTTTGGGTCAGTCGCAAAGGGCAATACAACATTTTTTTTTTTAGGGCTTATTCTAGCTAGGAATTATACAACTGATCGTTGCTCAATAATCTTCTGTCCCTCAACAAAAAGGAAAGTTAAATGCTAAGTGGTTGGAAACTGGTATCAAAGTACCCAAAAAGAACAACACAATTATAATCAGAATACATAACACAGTTAGCACACGAGAGATAAAATGCATCGATGAAGTGCATTTATATAAAAGGACTTAAAAATTGCCTTCTGAATATTTTGGTATGCTTTCAAATGTAGCCATTGGAGACTTGTTGGATGTAGGAGATGACATGGCAATATGACATCAACATGAACAAATGAAAAATCTATAAAAACACATAGCACTCCTATATAAGCAGCGCTCAAAATACACGGGGGCGGTGGGCGATTCGCCCCCGTGAGCTCCATAATCGCCCCCGTCAGGTTGCTCACGGGGGCGATTGCAAAATTAAAAATCGCCCCCGTGGAATTATAAAATTAAGATTATCTTTTCTGATATAACTTTAACACAATATTGAGTATTCATTTTCAAACCTTAAACCAATGAAATGGAACTTAGATGGCACTTTCTCTACCATCTCTACGAGTATTCCCGATACAAACAACGGAAGCTCGCGGTGCGGCCGTCAGCACAGTGGCTATACTGCGCTGGTAGTACCGGTGTGCACGCTGACGCCCAATATCTGCTGGAGCTGGAGATCGACAACGCGCAAGGACTGAAACATGGAGAAGTTTTTCGTTGTGAAAGTTTGAATCCTCTGAAATCTGGTGATTCTTAAAGACCCACAAATAATGTAACCCGACCAGTAAATCAATATTGAGAAGAAGAAGAAGGCATAAGATGTTGCAGGGGTGGATCTAGGCGGTTTAGGGGGTTTAACCCCCCCCCCTCCCCCTTGGGCTGCCAAGGAAAAATGTGATGTGCAAAGAAAAATGCTATCATGTGTCCAGACCTACACAGTATAGTCGATATCAGTAGATGCCAGGAAAACATCACTAACGGGGGTTCAAAAAAGCACCCAAAAAAAATCGTCTCGCGGCTTTGCGGCTCGTGGACGACGATCCGCATGTTATAGATGCCAGGAAAACACCACTTACGGGGGTTCAAAATAGCAACAACAAAAATCGCCTCGCCGCTACGCGGCTCGTGGACGATGCTCCACATCGTTATTTGGGGTACCCCCCCAACCTTAGCAAAAAGCTTGATCCACCCCTGTGTTTTGGAAGGATTTGGTAAAGACTAAAAGTAAAAAAAGAATGTAAATAAGGTTGCTCCGAATAATGAGGAGGAAATTATTTGCAGAACGGGAAGAAATGGAGAAAATGTCCTCACGGGAATAAAAGTCAATAACAGCAATGTAACAAGTAAATTTCTAAGAGGAAAAATACCGACTTAGATAAATGATAATGATAAAATACCAAGGAGTTTCACGGGTACCAATTGAATGGAAATTTGTAGTAAAATAAGAGCCCCCGTCAGCACTTAAATCGCCCCCGTGAGAAGGCTCACGGGGGCTCTTTTTCTTTTGGAAGAGCCCCCGTGGGCAAAAAATTAATTTGAGCCCTGTATATAAGGACACCAAATTAATCTGAATTCATTACATTTTTTTGCACACTAGAGATGAAATGCATTAAAGATACTATGTCCCTTTTGCAGCCAACATCAAATTCTGTAGAATTTTGCAGGAATTATGAATACTGGTATGTCATGTACATGTATGTCCTATCTGTGAAATTTAAATGTTAGCAGTGTCCTAATATTCAAATTATGCTAGGAAACCCATTTACTTGTTAGACTTAATTGTCAGACACTATTGAGTGACTGACTGGCTTTTTTCTTCTTTGGTAATAACATACATAAAATGACCTGTGAAGGGTAAATAGCATTTGTCTACATCAATAACCCACTTCTTAAAATGGCCAAAATCTAACTGATTGAATCTTTGCGCAGCATAAAATGTCCGACCATTCAGTACAATGGTCTGAAAATCAGACTATTACTTACTGGCTCTATAGCTCTTAAGTTGATTGGACAACTAATAGTCGTTAAATTCCCACTTAAAGACATTTTCAAGCCCCCCCCCCTTTTTGTTTTCGGGAAGTTCTAAATTAGTAGTTGGAATTTAACCTTTTCATTTTTTGGGCCTGCAAATGTGACATAGTACCTTTAATTGAAAGCTACTTCTCAAAATAAAAAAGGGGAGATACTTCAGTTACGTTCTTATTAAGCAAGACAAAGCCGAGGTATATTGCCACAGCTTGTTTGATAGAGAGAGACACATGTAATTTGTGTTAAAAGCAATATGTATATTTAGAATTTAGACAGGCTGATATAATTGGAAAAATACATCAACAAAAGTTATTTAAAATTCAGATGTCATTTGAAACAAAATAATAGATTATTTGGAATGTAAAACTTTTAGATTCAGATTGATTTATTTTACCAATCAATATAAAATACAATATTGACTGTGGGGCAAGTATACAATAACAAGAACAAGTAAAGAAAAGAAATGAGCATTGAACCTATTCACTGCTATTCTATCATTCCTATATGATTACTACAGAACCCACCCAGTTCTACTAGCCAATGGGTTATTAGGTAAACCTTATTTTCATCTAAAATAGGAAACCCCAACCTGTAAGCATATATTTCATTGAAAAAGATCTAGATCAAATCATCCATCAGTGTAAAGTAAAATATAGTTACACTTACATGGATAATTTAGCAACGTTAAGAAGATTTCTAAACTAAATAATGTATTAGCACATGATCTACCCCTCAATTACTTCATATAATTCACGCACAACACACACCCACACACACCAACTAAGATTGTCCCTTTCTCAATTACTTCATATAATGCACGCATAACACACACCCACACACACCCACACACACCAACTAAGATTTCCCCTTTCTCAATTACTTCATATAATGCACGCACAACACACACCCACACACACCAACTAAGATTTCCCCTTTCTCAATTACTTCATATAATGCACGCACAACACACACCCACACACACCAACTAAGATTTCCCCTTTCTCAATTACTTTATATAATGCACGCACAACACACACCCACACACACTCACACACACCAACTAAGATTTCCCCTTTCTCAATTACTTCATATAATTCACGCACAACACACACCCACACACACCAACTAAGATTTCCCCTTTCTCAATTACTTCATATAATGCAGGCACAACACTTACCCACACACACCCACACACACCAACTAAGATTTTCCCTTTCTCAATTACTTCATATAATGCACGCATAACACACACCCACACACACCAACTAAGATTTCCCCTTTCTCAATTACTTCATATAATGCACGCACAACACACACCCACACACACCAACTAAGATTTCCCCTTTCTCAATTACTTCATATAATGCACGCACAACACACACCCACACACACCAACTAAGATTTCCCCTTTCTCAATTACTTTATATAATGCACGCACAACACACACCCACACACACTCACACACACCAACTAAGATTTCCCCTTTCTCAATTACTTCATATAATGCACGCACACACACACACCCACACACACCAACTAAGATTTCCCCTTTCTCAATTACTTCATATAATGCACGCACACACACATACACCCACACACACCAACTAAGATTTCCCCTTTCTCACTTACTTTATATAATGCACGCACACACACACACACCAAGTAAGATTTCCCCGTTCTCAATTACTTCATATAATGCACACACATACACACCCACACACACCAACTACGATTTCCCCTTTCTCACTTGACACACACACGTTTACATGCCACCTTCATCCACATCTCTCTGACATCTTTACCTTTTAAAAAATATTTTATTATGTGTCTGATCATGGGATCTCATCTTTATGTCTTGTTTAGCAGAATCTTATGTCCATGGTTTTCTATCAATGTGTCCTAGGAAAAAAATTTGGATGATCTTCGCACTTGTACTGGGCATGTATGCTCTTGTGGCACCATGGGTGATTTGAAATTTTCTCTTGTGACAAGGGTCAAGTATATTTGCGTTGGTCAAATGTACATGTATAAAGTTAGAATTGTGAATTCAATTGGGTTTTAGTTTAGGATTACCGGTAGAGCTAAGTTTGGTGTTAATTTTGTATAGAATTATGTCCAGGTTTAAAGCTACAAATTCAGCGATTGTAGAAAATTGACTACAGAACAAATGTCGCAGGAGCGTGTGTCCTACAGCTGCAACCATGAGCTTTGGATAATCTCTCGTAGCTAAGAAAGCCCACTCATATGTCTGGTAAAGTGTTTTTTAGAAGGCATAACTTGTTTGTTACCTCTTCCACCATGTGATATCTCTTCATGACATGACTGAGACACAGAAAGACAAAAGGACACGTCAGATACAGAATGGTCTTTATTTAAAATGAGATGGTCTCGACCAATGAACGGCAACTTTATATAATTACAATTACATCTTGACATTCATATCAAGTGAGATATGGCAAGTTTATAAGGTCCTACGCTGAATTGAATATATAGCATATCACAGAACATACTAATCCCCTATACGAGGAAGTGGGTTGCTATTTACAATTGTAACTAGTTCAATGAAGGAGTGTGTTATGTCTAATTTGTTTTTTTTTTTTTCTTCAGGAAATCTGGGCACAGGCATATATACATATAGTGCTTATTGTTCAAAGGACGATGGGTTGTTTGAGCCATCAATCTGGTTCTTAATCTAAGCATTTTTATCAAACGATTTTTTTTTTTCCCCAAAAATATTTACATATGGACACTTTTTATTGTGATTATTGCAGAGGATGATGTATGTATATAAGAGGTAAATGTGTACAATCATTTACCTGGCCCCTGATTACTCCAGCACATTAAAGTTTTAAAGACTATTAATTAGGTGTAAAATGGGCAACATGTATAGTATAGGTGGTAGAACATCAAGACAATATAGAATCAATAATCTGTGGATGCTAGTAAAATGTCGTCGTTATTGTGTTAACACTTAACAGTGCTTATTTAAACAAAATGATTATCCAGAGTTATTGTCAATTAATACACAGTGATTAATCATCATGCAAGAAGGAAATGTACTACTTAAACCTCATCTATTATAAAGAGATAATTAGGCAATAATCTACTACTAGTACATGAGCTAAATTATGTAACCATTGCCACGACGTTTGCAGTCGCTCTGGTGGTTTGGATATCCATCCACTTTGACTATATTAGTTTATCCATGACAGAAAAATGCACTAGGAAGGTAAATATTCTGGTGAGGAATTTGTAAAGCAGGTTTTGTATTTTGAAATCAGATATATAAAACAAATTAATATTAATCCTGGGGTAAACCGATCATTTGGTTTACTGTCATACAAATATTTCTCCCTATTTAGAAATATGTGAGAACAACACAAACAAACAAACCAATATTTACGATAAAAGAACATTTCCATCTAAGCACTCCTTTTTGTAACTAATTGGATTCATATTTATTCAGCCAACACAAAAGAGCATTATTATAATTAAAAAAACATTCAAGTATACATAACTCAGTGTCCAAGTGTCTTTGAACAACAAAAACTTGTATTTACAATCCTGACCTCATTGAATGGAAGACATCATAAAAGAGCATAATAGTACATTAAAGTTCATGTAATACAGTATCGAGTGTCTTTGGACAACAACAACTTGTATTTACAATCCTGACCTCATTGAATGGAAGACATCATAAAAGAGCATAATAGTACATTGAAGTTCATGTAATACAGTATCGAGTGTCTTTGGACAACAAAAACTTGTATTTACAATCCTGACCTCATTGAATGGAAGACATCGTAAAAGATCATAAAAGTGATTAAAAAACATTGAAGTTCATGTAACACAGTATCCCAGTGTCTTTGGACAAAACAAACTTGTATTTATCATCCTGACACATTGAATGGAAGATATCCCAAAAGAGCATTCATAATAATTCAAAAACACTGAAGAACATGTAACTCAGTGTCCAAGTGTCTTTGGACAACAAAAACTTGTATTTACAATGCTGACCTCATTGAATGGAAGACATCATAAAAGAGCATAATAGTACATTAAAGTTCATGTAATACAGTATCGAGTGTCTTTGGACAACAACAACTTGTATTTACAATCCTGACCTCATTGAATGGAAGACATCATAAAAGAGCATAATAGTACATTAAAGTTCATGTAATACAGTATCGAGTGTCTTTGGACAACAACAACTTGTATTTACAATCCTGACCTCATTGAATGGAAGACATCATAAAAGAGCATAATAGTACATTGAAGTTCATGTAATACAGTATCGAGTGTCTTTGGACAACAAAAACTTGTATTTACAATCCTGACCTCATTGAATGGAAGACATCGTAAAAGATCATAAAAGTGATTAAAAAACATTGAAGTTCATGTAACACAGTATCCCAGTGTCTTTGGACAAAACAAACTTGTATTTATCATCCTGACACATTGAATGGAAGATATCCCAAAAGAGCATTCATAATAATTCAAAAACACTGAAGAACATGTAACTCAGTGTCCAAGTGTCTTTGGACAACAAAAACTTGTATTTACAATGCTGACCTCATTGAATGGAAGACATCATAAAAGAGCATAATAGTACATTAAAGTTCATGTAATACAGTATCGAGTGTCTTTGGACAACAACAACTTGTATTTACAATCCTGACCTCATTGAATGGAAGACATCATAAAAGAGCATAATAGTACATTGAAGTTCATGTAATACAGTATCGAGTGTCTTTGGACAACAACAACTTGTATTTACAATCCTGACCTCATTGAATAGAAGACATCATAAAAGAGCATAATAGTACATTGAAGTTCATGTAATACAGTATCGAGTGTCTTTGGACAACAACAACTTGTATTTACAATCCTGACCTCATTGAATGGAAGACATCATAAAAGAGCATAATAGTACATTAAAGTTCATGTAATATACAGTATCGAGTGTCTTTGGACAACAACAACTTGTATTTACAATCCTGACCTCATTGAATAGAAGACATCATAAAAGAGCATAATAGTACATTAAAGTTCATGTAATACAGTATCGAGTGTCTTTGGACAACAACAACTTGTATTTACAATCCTGACCTCATTGAATGGAAGACATCATAAAAGAGCATAATAGTACATTAAAGTTCATGTAATACAGTATCGAGTGTCTTTGGACAACAAAAACTTGTATTTACAATCCTGACCTCATTGAATAGAAGCCATCGTAAAAGATCATAAAAGTGATTAAAAACATTGAAGTTCATGTAACACAGTATCCCAGTGTCTTTGGACAAAACAAACTTGTATTTATCATCCTGACACATTGAATAGAAGATATCCCAAAAGAGCATTCATAATAATTCAAAAACACTGAAGAACATGTAACTCAGTGTCCAAGTGTCTTTGGACAACAAAAACTTGTATTTACAATCCTGACTCATTGAATGGAAGACATCATAAAAGAGCATAATAGTAATCTAAAAAAAGCATTGGCAGTATATGTAACTTATTATCCAAGTGTGGTTGTACAACACAAACTTGTATTTACAATCCTGACTCATTGAGACATCATAAAAGAGCATAATAGTTATTCAAAAACATTGAAGTTCATGTAACACAGTATCCAAGTGTCTTTCTACAACAAAAACTTGTATTTACAATCCTAACTCATTGAATGGAAGCCATTCAGACAAAGCTAGTATTTTTGTTCAGTGTTCTTATTGTTCAGTCTCAGTAAACTATGGGTAATTTTATTCAAATTTTTCAAATTGTAAATTATCTTCCTCCATAGAATAGTCTAATTTTAAGGTGATTTACGATTTTCTAGAATTAAGAGGATTCCAGTTAGATACAAATAGTGTTTATACTCTATTACTTATCTCACTTTTCAATTCAATTCAAAAATTGAGCATAAAATCAGTATGAGATCTTCATAAATTCGTTTGGACTCTTCATTAAGTGCATTGGAGCATTTTTTCTTCACTTTAATGTAATGATTCCCAAAATTGAATGTTCTTCAAAGTATTGTAGAATTTACACTGACTCACTATTTTTTCTTGATCCATTTTCCATCTTCTGACCGTTAAGTAGTGATGTATTCAATTGTAGAGGAATGGGACGATCTTTACCGTTATTATCATTTCTGATCTTTGTTTTAATTTTATAGTGGAAAAACAAACTCAAGATTAGCACTATAACTTCAATAGGCAAGAGAATTAACAGAATGATTACACCTTTGTTGGATTTGCAATGTTTCGTATTAATTGGTATGGAGGACGTCATAGTGGAATAGTAATCACTTTGATTGTTTTCTGTAAGAGTGGAAAGAAGAGGCATTGTTGTAATTTCTGATAAAGGAGGACAAGGGTTATTGCTAACATCATCAGTTATGTACAGACCAGTATCCTTACATTCACATCTTTCTTTGTATTCATCCAAAGTAGAAGAGCAACAAAATACTGGCTGTGATTTTTTGATGAGAATGGTCTGTTTTAATAAAGTGTTGGTATGAGAAGGATCGCTTAGGGGAGGCATCCATACACCATCCTGATAGCATTCAAACTCTCCTGATAGACTCCCAATATTAGCTGTACAGTCTATTGAGACCCAGTCTCCACCCTTATCTTCACTCACAACACATGATGCCTTACCAGGAGGAAAATCAACCTGTAGCCAAATCCTGTGTGTTTGTTCAACTAGTATCTCCCCATCCTTGTATACAGACGAAATGTATGTCCCTTGATCAATGCTCAGTAGATTATTTATTGTAAACTCCAGATAACAATTGTCAGTATTATTTCTGTTTTGAACCTGAAGCCTTTGTACCTGATCTTGTGACAAAGACAGTGATGACCCATCTGAAGAGCGATAAAATGGGACTCTGTACGAATGCTGTAATGTGACTTCTGTACTATCACATGGGTATGGGAAAATCAAGTTAGCTTCTTGCCCTTCTATTTTAGATAATTGTGTGGATTTACATCCATATAGATTCACGAGAATGATAGAAATTAATAATATTGAAATTTCAAATCCACCAGTCAAGGAATGAATTAAAACGTTAAACATTTTGAATTCTGGTTAGATTCTGATTTCCCCCAAAAATACCCAACTCAGTAGAGATTCTTCAGTATAAGCTGCAAAGAGGAAAAAGTGATCGTCAGTATTTTATATAATTCGAAGATTGATTTCATGAACAGTAATGTTTCACCTTCATCAAGTTAGCTTGTTGCCCTTCTATTTTAGATAATTGTGTGGATTTACATCCATATAGATTCAGGAGAATGATAGAAATGAATAATATTGAAATTTCAAATCCACCAGTCAAGGAATGAAATAAAACGTTAAACATTTTGATTTCCGGTTAGATTCTGATTTCCCCCCAAAATACCCAACTCAGTAGAGATTTTTCAGTATAAGCTGCAAAGAGGAAAAAGTGATCGTCAGAATTTTATATAATTCGAAGATCGATTTCACGACCAGTAATGTTTCACCTTTAACATCCAACTCAATAGAAAATTTCCAGATTGCAATGGTGTGGCTATAAGCCAGCCAGTTATTCAAAATGCAATCTATGCTTTAGCTAGCATTCATACATTGGCTGGTTCTATTACATATACACAGGCAAGAATTCTGCTGTACTGATTCTTGGTTAGATTAAGATATTCCACCAAAAATACTTAGAGGTTCTTAAGTAACTGCAAAGAGGTGAAGGTTATTGTAAGAATTCTATATTATTCATTAACAGTAATGTTCCACCGTTGACAATATAAATTTCCAAGTGGAAATGGTTTGGCTAAAAGCTGACCAGTTATTTTAAATGCAAGCGTAAATGCAATCAATTTTTTAGCTAGCATTCATACATCGTCTGGTTCTGTCACATGCATAATTCATTCAGTAATTGTTACTGCAATGTACTGTATTGTCTTCCAGCTATGTTTCTGATGGATCAGTCAACTGCAGATTGTCAGCTTGTTAGAATCATCAGATTGGGCAATTAGAAATACAGCAAAAGTTAATCTATCAACCAGGACTGACTAATTCTTGTCTTAACCTGGTGGTCTCCGTATTACGCCTATAGGAATTTCACTAAGCAGTAGTCAACAGGTTAATTATCAAGCTTGATTTCAATTTGATACAACAGCAACAACCTCTTCATGTAAGATTCAGCATTGGTAAAGGTATGGTGTTTAGGGTAACTTGAGATGCACGAACTGTCAATCCGTCTCCTACATTTGGTAAAAGAAAAAAATTAGAGTAGGTGGATTTTAAAATAATGATAATGATAATAATAATTAGCTCTTATATAGCACATTTAATTACCAAAGGTAATACCAATGCGCTTTATAAACATTTCAAAATCAAGATGAGAATTCAGAAGACAATAGAAATAAAGATATATAGAAATAATTACATATATATATATTCATAAATTATAAGTAACTAGGCATACAGTATACATTAGAAAAAATTGATAGTAAGTAAATAACTATACCGTTGGTGAAGGTGATGGGACAAACTATCACTCCCGAGGCGATCTGGATGTTGCTATCTTTCCGAAGCGAAGCTGAGGAAAGATTGCGTATACGTTCAGGTCGCCGAGGAAGTGATAGTTTGCCGTTGCCTGAAACCAAAAGGTGATTATTTGCTTTATATTCCACATTGGAAACATTTCACTTCTTCCATCATTTTAGAGCAACAAGTCATCAATAGCTAGTAAATGGTGTACGATACGTACTGTGCATGCAGTACTTGCGTACGTACGTATACAAGAAAGTGCGTTGCACTGTGTAGATGGTATTTCTATGATACAGTGAAAGTGTGTTGCACTGTATAGATAGTACTACTATGTACACAGTGCAACAAACTTTTCTTCTCCCATCAATGATGGGCAAAGTATCTTTCATCATGTGATTTACTTTTGACCAATCGTAGAGCAAGATTTTTAGTATGTGGAATATAGTAGCTTCTATTAAAGGTGATACATATGATATAATATTTGAAAATTATTATAATGGTGAGGAAGGCCCAATACAACAATGTGAATGAATTTGGTGAATTTGGTGATGGTGGTTATTTTACCTGACTGCTAAGAAAGCAAACATGTAAATGCTTGTAAGTAAGCAGCCAGACGGCCGACGGCTTTAGGTCCTTTCCGAGGGACCTGGTAATGAGGATTGATGCCTTACCAAAGGGCACTAGCGCATTGTCTTGGTTTCGAACCCGAGTCACCGGATTACGAGACCACTGCTCTAACGACTGAGCTATCGCACCCTAGATAGATCAATAAACGTCCTGCTTGTTGGGAGACTCTTTGGAAAACTCTTCCTGGCATTATGCTACACACACTGTGGTGAAAGTTGCTCTTTGGTCACTAGCTCTTGCTAATTTACTAACTTCCACCCTGCACCCAACACTATTCCCATACCTCTTAGCATAACCAATGGGCCAATCTCTTACCATATACTGGTAATCATATAATAATTTTGCTCACCCAGGGGAGCCTCATCAGCATCAGTGCTGTGCTTCCTGTAGGCCGTGCAATTAATTTCACCCCATCAATTGCCAGTTACCCATATATTACATCTTGGTAGAGAGTGGCAAATGTAGTTTAATCTCTTGCTAAAGGACGTTAGTGACAAGCTTGGATTCAAACCTTTAAAGGTAATATGTCCCATTTGCAGGCCAAACAAATGAAAAGGTTAAATTCCAATGGCATTTGAAAGATAATACTAATTTAAAACTTCCCTAAAAAAAAGGGGGCTTAAAAAAAGTCTTTAAATGGGAAAATAACGACCATTAGTTGGTGAATCAACTTTAGTGATTGTAATCCATTTAGTAATAGTCTGATTTTTAGACCCTTGTACTGAACGGTTGTACGTTTTGTATTGGGCAAAAATTCAATCAGTTTAATTTTGGCCATTAAAAGAAGTGGGTTATTGATGTAAACAAATTGCTCATGTACCCTTTTCAGCTCATTTTCTGTATCTAATTACCAAAGAAAAAAAGATATCAGTCAGTCACTCAAAAGTGTCTGACAGTGAAGTCCAGATATTATACAGGTTTCCTTGCATAATTTGAATATTAGGACACTGCTAACGTTTAAATTTCAGAGATACATGACCGATCAAAAATCGGGGTGCGCCTTATACACAGGGACAGAATATTTTGAGTCCTCAAAATGCTACTTTTTAGCGGTTTTCGATAAACCTGAGTCATTACGTTTTTTGTGCTAAACGTTTAACAAAACCTTGTCGATAATTATATTTTTAGAGCTCCGTAGGGGCAAGAAAACATTGCCGATAATTATTGTTTTTAGAGCTCCGTAGGAGAACAAAACCTTGCCGATAATTATTGTTTTTAGAGCTCCGTAGGGGAACAAAACCTTGCCGATAATTATTGTTTTTAGAGCTCCGTAGGGGCAACACAACCTTGCCGATAATTATTGTTTTTAGAGCTCCGTAGGGGCAAGAAAACCTTGCCGATAATTATTGTTTTTAGAGCTCCGTAGGGGCAAGAAAACCTTGCCGATAATTATTGTTTTTAGAGCTCCGTAGGGGCAACAAAACCTTGCCGATAAATATTGTTTTCAGAGCTCCGTAGGGGCAACAAAACCTTGCCGATAATTATTGTTTTTAGAGCTCCGTAGGGGCAACAAAACCTTGCCGATAATTATTGTTTTTAGAGCTCCGTAAGGGAACAAAACCTTGCCGATAATTATTGTTTTTAGAGCTCCGTAGGGGAACAAAACCTTGCCGATAATTATTGTTTTTAGAGCTCCGTAGGGGCAACACAACCTTGCCGATAATTATTTTTTTTAGAGCTCCGTAGGGGCAAGAAAACCTTGCTGATAATTATTGTTTTTAGAGCTACGTAGGGGCAACAAAACCTTGCCGATAATTATTGTTTTTAGAGCTCCGTAGGGGCAACAAAACCTTGCCGATAATTATTGTTTTCAGAGCTCCGTAGGGGCAACAAAACCTTGCCGATAATTATTGTTTTTAGAGCTCCGTAGGGGCAACAAAACCTTGCCGATAATTATTGTTTTCAGAGCTCCGTAGGGGCAACAAAACCTTGCCGATAATTATTGTTTTTAGAGCTCCGTAGGGGCAAGAAAACCTTGCCGATGATTATTGTTTTTAGAGCTCCGTAGGGGCAACAAAACCTTGCCGATAATTATTGTTTTTAGAGCTCCGTAGGGGCAACACAACCTTGCCGATAATTATTGTTTTTAGAGCTCCGTAGGGGCAACAAAACCTTGCCGATAATTATTGTTTTTAGAGCTCCGTAGGGGCAACACAACCTTGCCGATAATTATTGTTTTCAGAGCTCCGTAGGGGCAACAAAACCTTGCCGATAATTATTGTTTTTAGAGCTCCGTAGGGACAAGAAAACCTTGCCGATGATTATTGTTTTTAGAGCTCCGTAGGGGCAACAAAACCTTTCCGATAATTATTGTTTTTAGAGCTCCGTAGGGGCAACACAACCTTGCCGATAATTATTGTTTTCAGAGCTTCGTAGGGGCAACAAAACCTTGCCGATAATTATTGTTTTTAGAGCTCCGTAGGGGCAACAAAACCTTGCCGATAATTATTATTTTTAGAGCTCCGTAGGGGCAACAAAACCTTGCCGATAATTATTGTTTTTTAGGGCTCCGTAGGGGCAACACAACCTTGCCGATAATTATTGATTTTAGATCTCCGTAGGGGCAACAAAACCTTGCCGATAATTATTGTTTTTAGATTTCCGTAGTGGCAACAAAACCTTGCCGATTGGAACTAAGTTAGAACTTGTAATAATGTTGGTTTTAAAACTAATGACAGATTTTTTGTTTGTTTGTTTGTTTTGTCTTCAAAATAGGAGTGCGCCTTATACACAGGTGCGCCTTATACACGGAGATTTACGGGTATTCATAATTCCCGCAAAGTTCTACAGAATTTGATGTTGGCTGCAAATAAGATATAGCTACTCTTAACCCTTGGATTGAGATTTAAGGGAATGAACAACTATACCAGTACACCTCCATATATGTTTTTGACATCAAAACAGCAAAGCTCGGAGGAAAGAATGGATCACCAAGTGAAGTTCAGATCAGAATAATAAGATATACTCGGACTTCATTTATATGTACTTCTTTTTGAGTATGAAGTATCATTTGCTTATGCAGTAGAGATGGTCTTGCAAAAAAATAAGGATTGATGAATTGTTTAGCTGTAGTTTTGAAAGAAAATTGCTCATTGAGCTGTTCTCTCTATGTAGAACTTCAGAAACACTTTAATTATTCTCTATATTTAAAATATATAATTATATAAAGCAATCACTGATGTTGTGACTTTCACTCTAAATCAAATAACTTAACATGTGTACATCATTGTTTAACAGAGGATATAGATAAACAAATTATGCACTTACCTAACTCTTTTGTTTTTAGATTGCTTAACAATTCTGCTTGTAAAACATGAAGTTATGCAGCTCCATCAAAAACCACGCAAAGCTGTTTATTTCTAGAGGACAAAATGGCTTCCCCATCCAAGCTCCTCTTGACAACGGAGAAAAAAGCGACCAATGAACGATAGTTGGCATGGTTCCAATTCAGTACCCTGGGAGGTCACCATTAGGCCAATTAATTCACATTTTGTAGGAATCGAAATATGGAATCAAATAAATTATATCATATCACATGAATTAAGTGCAGGAAAAGGTTGTATTTGATTCCTGATTCGAATCCCTCTTATTTGCCTGTTCACATGGAACTATCTCGAGGAAGTGAATGCAAAATGATAATAGGTTAGGTAGTCTCAATTAAAGGCACAGCAATGAGGAGCTTGATTTAAGCTATGCAACCATTATTCTCTCATTTCCTCTCACAGTATACATATATATATATATATATATATGTATATTTATAGAGAGAGAGAGAGAAAACAAAAATGATAGAGAGAGAGAGAGAAAGTGATAGAGAGAGAAAGTAATAGAGAGAGGGGTGCGAATGAATGCCTTTACTGGTCGGTAGCACCACGTTAAGTGTATATTTTTGCTTCAACTTTTTTTTTTGGTCAGGTAATCTGTAATTTTTCTCAATTGCTGTTTATAATTTTAAAAATTTGTTATGGTTAATTTCAATCTTAATTCTGTAAAGTTCTGAATCTGAGAACTATCGCATTCCATTTCACCTTATTCCTGTGTTGATATGATATCTTTTCCCCCTCATACTGAGTTAGCCCATAGAATGCCAGGTAGTGAGCACTTCGATTTTTTGATTTTTTCTTTTCTTTTCTTACTCAACACCCCCCCCCCCCCCTTGCATACGATCTCTCTCTCGAAGCAGTTCCCCAAAGTTGACATCCTTGATGAAACATAATGACATTCACGCACACCTTACCCTCATACACACCTTCACACACCACTGAACTCTAACACTATGTGGAATAGCCGTCACAGTTGACGGGCTGCGAGCATTAAGTCAGGGTGCCTCGTTTTGTCCGCCATTTTTTCCCCAGAGAGCATGGCCAGGGAAAAGCAGCCCTGCATACTTGTGTTGAAAAAAATGTGTTTATTTGTGTGTAAGGGAAGGGGTATGAGGTAATTATGCCATGATGACAAAAATGTATTGTTTTAGATTTTCATACATTATATCAATACATTAATTACATGTTTTAAGATTCATATGTGATTATATAAGAATGCATTCTAGATCGTCAGAGGCTTAGTTTGTTCAATAAATCCCAATAACCCGGCCACAATCATACAAGAAACTATTACACACAAACACACGAAATCACTACATACAAGTTCTATGCTGTAGTAGCCTACAATTTATGTTAACAAATTCCATTCTTCAGAGGCTTATTATTATTTTAATAAAAACTCAACTTGGACACAATGATACACCACCTCTGTATGTGTTTGAGAGAATATAACTTCATAAACGTCATCATAAACGTCATCATACATACAAGTATACAAATCATTGTCATTCATACACAAAGATACAGTCACACAGACACAACTTGCAAATCAACCATTCCATCTACCAACATTTTACAAAAAATTCACATGAAAATAGCACGCCACTAGGAGACAATTTTATACTCAGGTAAGCTGTATCATTGGCAAAAAGTGACCATAGTTGTACATGTTATTACAGAATTGCGCAATAAAGTTAACGAAGACAACTTTTTTAAATGACAAGGAAAAAAAAAGGGGTATTTCAAGTAATATTCGATATTTGTGACAATATAAAGGCTTTAACACTTTTTTGTGTGTGTGTAGTCTATGTTTTATTATAACAAACCATAAGTATAAAATATTTACAAGATTTGATAAAGTGAAGAAGAAAAACAATTACAAAATTCAAAAATCAATGTAAATGTACTGTGACTTGGCATTATTATGCATTTTCTCTACTATTTGTTTGATTTTTTTTTTTAAATGTCCACCATTCATTAATTAAATACTGCTTACATAAATAAACACATATTTATAATGATTGCGAAAAAGAACGCATAAATTATACTTATATCACAACATTAAAGGTAATACAAAGTTTTGGTATGGGTCATGAATTTGGTTCAAATGAATATATTGGAAGCATATATGCGATCCTACAATAGTCAGTGATCGTTATCGTGGTCGGAATCGAGTCTATAAGTCATGAAATTGTAAACAATAAAGACTTTATGTCGAAAAGCTCCCTCTCAAGGTCAATATATTAATTAAGCTATGAAACAATGTTTTTCGACTAAAATCGACCGTTTAGCTATTCTCGTTCGGAAATTATACATCACAACTACATATTCTGAGATTTTCATGGTCGCAGCTACCATTGTACGCTGGCAGGCGCTATTTGAAATTTATCAAAATTTAGCGGGAGCACCGGTAAATCTTTATATTCAATTTTTCTCGAAAACAGAAGTGTTTTAGGAGCTAAATTTTCTAGTGCTTTTAATACATCCACAGGGGCTTCCAAATATATCGAAATTGGAAAGAATCACTATCCACCCATTTTTCAAAATTTCCCAAAACTTTGTATTACCTTTAAGACTCATCAGTTTTTGGTTTAGACACATGAACACGACGTAGTCCGTGTCTTGTATTGTCTTAGTTTAGTTTGATTTGAGTGAACCAACGCCAGGCCAACAGCTATCAGAACAGGTATATACATTTTTTTTTACATAATAACATTATTTTTCCAGAGGTGATGCTTTTTAACATCTGTTCTCCATAATATTGCCTTTGAATACATTTCGAATATGTTTGTAAAATTATATTTTATTTTTGTGAACATATAAAACATAAGAAGCTAAATTGATTAATATATCTTTAAAAACTACATATTTTGAATGCATATAATCACATTGCTTGCCTAAAATTGTATCAATGTAGTCAATTTTTCATTATCAAGCAATACTTCTGTTTTTCTGAGCAAAATTAAGACCTTGTTCCAAAATATTTTTGAGTAATCACAATCATAAAAATGACTGATAATAATTTTCTGTGCTTTTGCACTTCAAAAAATAATCACGATCAGATTTTTTTAAACGATACAGATATTCTTCACATACTAATAAGTTATAGAGTAATTTGAAATTAAACTGTTTTAATCGTATTTCCTTGATGTACCCGATATGTTAAATTTATTTTCCATATTTTCCAAAAAAAAATTCCCTACTCTTAATACAACATACAATCATTTAATTTAGGAAATTGAAATTCATGAAACCTTAAAAATTCTAGATGTTACTTGAAAAATGCCTTAAGATTTTATGATACATTTTCATTCAAATATAATATATATATATATATATACATTATATTATAACACGATACATGTACATGTCAGTTCATATTTCATAGATGAGAAAATATATTTGGCAACTAAATATTGCGACAGTATTTTAGTATGGTATGACACATGAGACAGAAGGAAGCATAACAACTCATATCAGTGACTCATGGTGTAATGTTATTCCATTTATATGTTAAGTGAAAAATAAATAACGGCAACATGCATACAATAAACACAAACATAGAATGAATAATCACTGATGTGAAATCGTTTTCTTTCATTCATTTTGTTAAGTTGGATACCAATTTTAAACCTGTGGTGAACTAATCACTGTGGCTTAATTTTATACAAATGTTTTTCCCTATTTGGAAATCTGTGAAAACAACACAAACAAATATACAATTATACATTATTTACAATAATAGAACATTTCCATCTAGTACTCAATTGTGTAACTGATTGGAGACACATATTCGTTTAGCCATCATAAAAGAGCACAATAGTAATTCAACAACATTGATGTTGTGGTTCTCTTTCCTATGTGTTTCTAAAGTCACATATGGACACTTTAATTGATTATTATGGAAGATGATTATACAAGAGGTAAATTGGTACAATTATTTGCCTTACCTCTGATTACTCAAGCAAATTAAAGATATAAAGGCTATTAAGGTGTAAAATGTGCAACATTTCTAGAACAGGACTGTGGCACAACAGTAATACAATATAGAATCAATAATCTGTAGATGATAGTGAAATGTTGTAATTATTTGGTTAACATTGCTTATTTTCAATAAAATGATAGTCCAGAGTGATTGTCAATGAATACACAGTGATTAATCATCATGCAAGAAGGAAATGTACTGCTTAGACCACATCCATTATAAAGAGATAAGCGATAATCTATTACTAGCACATGAGCTAAATTGTGTAGCCATGCGCGATGGGCATCACATTTGCAGACGCTCTCGTAGTTTGGATACCCTTCCACTTTGACTATATCAGTCAATCCATGCCAGATAAATACATTCAAGAAGGTAAAAAATGCGGTGAGCTTATGGTAAACTAATCAGTGTGGATTACTTCACACTAATATTTTCCCCTATTTGAAAATCTGTTAGAAAAACACAAACAAAACAAGGGAGAATATATACCGTTTTTATTATTTCTGATCCTTGTTTTCATCTTATAGTGGAAAAACAAACTCAAGAATAGCAATGTAAGTTCAATAGGCAAGAGAATTGAGTGAATGATCACACATATGTTGGAGTTGCATTTTTTTGTATTAACCGGAATGGAGGACGTCACAGGGGAATAGTAATCACTTTGATTATTTTCTGTGAGAGTGGAAAGAGGAGGCATTGTTGTAATTTCTAAAGGAGGGCAAGGGTCATTGCTATCATCATCAGCATACAATGCAGTATCATTACATTCACATCTTTCTTTGTATTCATCCAAAGTAGAAGAACAACAAAATACTGGCTGTGACTTTTTAATGAGAATGGTCTGTTTCAATAAAGTGTCAGTATGAGTAGGATCGCTTAGGGGAAGCATCCATACACCACCCTGATAGCATTCAAACTCTCCTGATAGACTCCCAACATTAGCTGTACAGTCTATTGAGACCCATTCTCCACCCTTATCTTCACCCACGACACATGATGCCTTACCAGGAGGAAAATCAACCTGTAGCCAAATCCTGTATGTTTGTTCAACTATTATCTCCCCATCCTTGAATACAGACGAAATGTATGTCCCTTGATCAATGCTCAGTAGATTACCTATTGTAAACTCCAGAGCGCAATTCTCAGTGTCATTTCTATTCTGAACCTTGTATCTTTGTACCTGATCTTGTGACAAAGACAGTGACGACCCATCTGTAGAGCTATAGAATGGTATTCTGTACGAATGCTGTAATGTGACTTGTGTGCAGTCACATGGGTAAGGGAAAATCAAGTAAGCTTCTTGCCCTTGTATTTTAGATAATTGTGTGGATTCGCATCCATATAGACTTATGAGAATAATAGAAATGAATAATATTGGGATTTGAAATCCACCATTCAAGGAATGAAACGAAACTTGCAACATTTTGAACTACGGTTAAATTCTGATTTTCCCCCAAAATACCTCAATAGAACCTCCAGTAACTGCAAAGAGGAAAAAGTGATTGTCAGAACGTAATATAATTTGAAATCTATATCACGACCAGTAAAGTTTCACCTTTGACATCCAACTCAATAGAACATTTCGAGATGAAAATATTTTGACTAAAAGCTAACCAGTTAATTGAAATGCAAGCCTAAAGGCAATCTATTCTTCAGCTAGCATTAAAATGTTGTCTGGTTCTCTAACATTTACACAGGCATGAATCCTACAGTCACTGTAGCAGTAAATGTACTGTATTGTGTTCCAGCTTTTGTTTCTGATGGATTTGTCAACCAGATATTCTTACTTCTCAGCTTGTAACATTCATCAGATTGGACAATTAGAAACTCAGCAAAAGTTGATCTGTCAACCAGGACTGAATAATTCCCTTCTCAATCATCAGACTTGATTTCAATTTGATAGAACAGCGATAACTTGCAGACCATATCTCTGCATTCAGCATTCAGCTGTGGTATAGAAATGGCCATTAGAGTAGCTTCAGATGCACAAAGTGTCATATCCGTTACCTGGATGTGTTACAAGAAAAATTAGAGTAGGCGGATTGTACAACATAATTGTGGGGATAGTTTCTCTATGGTCACTAGCTCTATAGCTCTAACTTCGACCATGGGCCCAACACTATACCTATCCCTAATTAGCCTAACTCACCTAAAATATAACCTACATGTATAACTCTATAAAAACCCAATGTTTATGATATTCTTGTACATGCAATAATATAATCATTTTGTTTACCGGGAGAAGCCTCATCAGCATCAGTGTTGTTCCCTTCTGGATACCTGGATGTGTTAGAAGAAAAAATAGAGTAGGTTGATTGTACAACACATATTGTGGAGATAGTTGCTCTATGGTCACTAGCTCTTGCTAATTTACTAACTTTCACCCAGGACCCAACACTTTACCTATTCCTTAGCCTAACTAATTGAACCTAAAATATAACCTAAACCCGGTCAATACCCAATCTTTTACCATGTATTGGTACAATAATTTTCTTTACCCAGGGGAGCCTCATCAGCATTAGTGCTGTTCTACCTGCAGTTACTTTTATCCCATCAATTGCCAGGTACCAATTTACAATTACATCTGGGTAGAGATTGGCGAATATGGTTTAATCTCTTGACAAAGGAGGTTAGTGACAGGCTTGAATTCAAACCCTTAACCGTCGGATTGATATAGCCTATTCGGTGCTTTATGTTCAGAGCAAATATACTCTAACTTTAGTTTGATATAATTCTTTGTGAGTACCCGGTAGGTAGTATTATTTGCCCATGCAGCAGAGATCAAATTATACACTTACCTAACTCTTTTGTCTTCAGATCATTTGTTGCTTAAAGATTCTTCTTGTAAAACATGAAGTTATATGCAGCTCCAAATCCAATGAAAACCACACTCACAGCTGTTTACTTTTTAGAGAACAGTTTGCCTGCCCGCCTTCGAAGGTCCTCGACAACAGGGAATATAAATAGCATCCAATCAACGAAAGTTGGAATGGTTCAAAAATTCAGTACCCTGGGAGATCCATGTCAACATTAGGCCAATTCACACTTTGTATGAAATACGGATCTAAATAAATTAAATTAAATCAAATGAATCAAGCACTGGAAATGTATTTGATTCCTGATTTAAATCCCACTTATTTACCTGTACACATGTGAGATAAGTAAAATGTATGTACATAAGTGTTTTTACAACAACTCTTGTGGAAATAAATACAAACTCATAGAATAAAGGGGTAGCTCACATCAAAGTAGAGCAGTGAGGAACTTGATTTCAGCTATGCAACTATTATTCTCTCATTTCCTTTCACATTGTACATATATATATATATAGAGAGAGAGAGAGAGAGAGTTGCGAGTGAATGCCTTTACTGGTTGGTTGAACCATGTTAAATGTATATATTGCTTTGACTATTCTTGTCAGGTAATTGATACTTTTATGATTATGCTTTGCGTGTGAACATGTATGCAGCCCTTATGGTGTAAAGATCAAATTCTCTGTGCGCTTGAATGTCAGGTCCAAAGTCCATGCCATCACGCCTGCAGGATAGAATTATGATTTATGAAACGTAATGACATACACTCGAAGTCGCACACCTCACCCTCTCACACACACACACACCCTAAACAAAGGCCTACCGCTAATAAACAACAAAAAGGAAAGTTAACTGGCCAGAGGTTTGAAATTGAAATCAAAGAAAAGTATCCATGTACAACCACAAAAATATAATCATACTACATAACACAGTTTGCAAACCGGAGATGAAATGTATCAATCAAAATTGGTTTGTGAATATTAAGTTATGGTTTTCATTTTGATAACACATTTAATAATCTGCAGATACAACCTCTTAGGCTACAAATGTAGTTTAGAGACACCTTTAGGTTAAAGATACAAACATCACTGAGATTAAAGATCTTTAGGAGATTTGGAATTTTTGACCCCACTTTAAGAAATATACAGGAATTACATGAACTTACATTTACAACATATCAGAGAGACAGAGACAGAGACAGACAGAAGGGAATGAAAGAGGATATACATGTAGGTCGAGATGACAGGAAGAGAGGATTGTTGGACCACAGAGAAAGAACAAAATTCGAAGAAGATCAACTTACATGTAAATAGTCATGAACATATTTTAGAGGCTAAGTGATTTGTGTTACGTAACAACAGAGAAAAAAACAACAGAGAAACACTGTAGAAAACAAACAAGTACAATTAGTCTTGGTTAGTGTTACCAAGTGTTACTTAAAATGGCTCACTTTATGATTATTTGTAGAACTGGTAATCAATGAATATATCAATTGTACTTTTATTCACTTGTCAAGATTTAAAGAATGATAACCAATCGTGAAAGATGTTTGAAGGCATCTTATGTGGTATCTCCTTACCATTACTCAAATCCTTTACATTGTGAGAACAGCCACTGAAAGCCAAAGAGAGCTGTGAATAACTAGTGCTTTTAAATTGCCTCTTTTCATATTTGTGGAAGTCTTAGAATTTTCTAAATATTGCACATACTTCATATGATCAATAAATTTGTTTTCATTGATAATGAAGGCACTTTTGACCATCCTTGCTAAAACATATTACCGGTACCCTTCAAGTCCTCATACTCCTATATTTTGCAACTACATGTTCATGAGCACCTCTACCATCATCTTTCTTAAATATTTATTAATGGCTTTTATTTTCATTGATATAATTTGTTAATTTTGTACAACAATATTTCATGAGTCTCTGAATATTTGGTTGCCCCAGGTTGCTAAAATACAACATTTGGGAATATTACAATCATGAAATGCCAGACTCATGGCTGGTGAATATTTAGACAGTCAGATGAATTTTTAGTTCAAATTTCAATTCAAGTATTTACTAAATTGAGAATGGAAAAGACATTGTTTCTTCTTTTTGTCCATATAAAGTAAATAAACATCATATTAGATTTGGGAAATGTTGATTTATTTTGCATCACTATGAGAAACAATAAACACATTGTAATTAATGCTGATTTTGGGCCAACGGTATCTTAATTATTCCTCCCAAGTTAAAAAGAAGATAACATATAAACAGTGGTTATAAAACTATTGTAACATATTTCACTAAGTTTATTTAATGTTTTTATTTTCTAGGAGTTCATTATTAAATTGTGAGAAAATGATAGAACTACTGACATCATCCCACAACACTCAGTTAGTAAGTATTGCACAATTATTATGTTACTTTATTGCTTACATGTATTTCTTAGAGCATTCTTGTGTATGATAGAAACTTTATTAGAACAATTCTGTGATGATTTTCTCCAAGTTTCAAAATTGCTTTCTCTAGGAATTGTCTTGCAGAATTGTTTTCTTTCTTTCTCACTTAAATGTTGTTTTAAGTGTATATTGGAATTTAAAAAAAAATGAAATTCATTGTGGATGGTTTTTTATCGTAAAACAAAGCGATGTCTAAATAACTTCTACGCTTAACATGCATGGAGTTGTTCAGTTTTATTAATCTAAGAAAGTTCAGACAGCAAGACAGCTAGAACATATCAATGATCAAATTAACACATCAAATCACTTCTTTTATTTCCTATTTTGTTATCTTTGATAATCAATAACCTTGCTTTTATGATTAATCAGAGCTAAACCATAATTGTCCATTATACTCAAACAATTCTTATTGGGATTTTTCTGATAAACAAGGTGGGGTTCGTTACCATTTTATGTTTCCAATTTACAGTACATGTTAATTGACAATAAAACCAGACCCAAACAACAATATGGTATTTGGATATACCCTTTCATTAATGTATTTCAGTTTGTCATCTAACCACTATTCTCTCATTCATGTTTATATTTGTAAAAGTAAAGAAAAAAGAACAAGAAATTTGATATTATTACATTTGGGCCTAAATATTTTGCTTTGAAATTCTAATTGTTTATTGTTGTATTATTATATTTCCCAGCTTTGTTTGTTTGGCATCGAAGGCATTCTAAAAGAGGATTTAATCTCGTCCGACGTGGCTCTTAGTCTTCTCAGCTCTCACCTTACATCAATGCAGGGTAGTCAAGATAAAGCTATCAGGACAAAGTCTCTCAAGGTATGGATATTCATATCAATGCATATTCACACGGATGTCTATGAATATTCATGGTTATGTGGGTGGGTGTGGGTGTGTATATTTTTTGTTTTTTCGGCTTTGTATCAATCAGATCTCATATTTTTCATTTAAGAGGAACTGCCCTCCACTCTCAATGGCGTTCCCATTTTCTTGATAACGTGACGTCCTATAGTCATCTTTCAAGTAAATGCATTCAAATTTAGTGTGTGTAGTGATTGCATGTCATATTATAAAGAAAATGACTGCGCCCGTGTCATGCCAAAAGTCATTACATCATGCCATGTATATCTTCATTTGTATATCTCCTGTACATTTTCATAAGGAATTTTCTACATCAAATAGGCAGGAATAAATCAATAAATCTCAGCTTTCAGCATACCTACACTTATTCTTTGGGGTGAGGTTTCCTTTAATCACTGAGCACACTTACAAGTGAGGCACAGGAGAGAAATGCAGATGGTTCAGATATCCATGGAGATGTCTGTTTATCATATAAGAACAAATGCATGTGTAGTAAGATTCACTTTATAATACAAAAGCCTTTTGCTTGTCACCTAAGGAAGTTTGAAATTAGAAAATTGAAATGCTCATGGGGTATTTTTTCTTTCATTAAAGTCGTGTCTCAATTCTTTCTTTTTTCAGATTTTACGTCAGTTGGAGAGGCTTGAAGCTGACACCAGTCTAGATCAGCCACTGATGCCAGAGAGCAAGCTCATGTCCCAGTCAGTATTAGAGGCTGCTGAGGCTGAAATACCAGCATCCTTGGCTAACACAACTCCACTGAAAACTGTTCTGCCAAGAGATGCCTTTTCTTCCTCAGACGGAGCACCAAAATCATCTGGAGGATCTTTGTTCAGTGGTATGACCGTATCGACCAGATCGCCAGTAGCTCCTGGAGGGAAGACCTCAACAGGGATGTCTTCGAGTTCTGCCAGTAGGCACAAGGAAGCTAAAGAAGGACATTCAGTAGCTGATCTGCTAATAGACACCCAGTTCATGTCAAAGTCAGACTCGTCAGAAACAAACTTACTCCTTTCTGACACCAAGCCAAGTTCAGTAACAAATAATCGGACACAAGGAGAGTTCACACAGGTAATGAGTGCACCTGCTGCTTATAGCTTAAGTAATGGAAACCCTGGAGCAACACCAGTACACCAGAAATCTGTTGATCCAGAGGCATCTCAGCACAGTAGGATGGATCCTATAATGTCCAGAGAGGCAGGGTTCGCTGACCTGTGGAACACGGTGTCCCCCAAGGAAGCATCTTCTGACCCAAAGGCTTCATCAAACCAAGTTCTCTCACAGCTCAGTACAGCAACGCCACAGGTTGATATGCCTTCACAACATCCTCATCCTAGCATGACCTTACAACAGCCAGTCATGTCAGCACAGCATATTTCCCAGATGTACCCTCAGCTATCATCGATCACCCTGAGTGGGATGACCTCGACACCGATCAATCTTGCCAAAAAACCAACCACGGGTTTGGATTTGTTGTGGACAATGATGATGAGAAGCAGAAAGCAGGAGCAAGTAGAGATGCCTTTAGTTTCATCCAAGATGCAATGAAAAATAGCAAATCATGATGACTAATTAAAGAGGAAATTAACCTTCCATGAGATACCCGTACATGTAGAGACAACTGTAGTGATTGGCCTCCTATCAGTTTAGAATATAAGCCCCTTAAAAACAGTTTGAACACTCAAGTTGAATCAATTTTTAGCTCTCTCGTCGTGGCATAATTAATCATCACTTGATTATTATCATTAGATATTGTGTCTATTCCTCTTTAAAATTACGCCATATATTAACAATTTTCCAGCCAGAGAGTGAGTAGCACAACATAATATAGGGCGGGGTAAAGAGGTGATCACTGCATGGTATTGGTATGCATAGCACTCTTTTTTTTCTTTGACACAAGTGTGATTTTTGTTAATGACATTGAGGCTTTTGTTTCCCAACTGGTCATCCTTGAATGGCAAATTCTGAAGAATCTGATATTGAAATTCATGCATTATGGTGACATGTCAATTGTGTAAATCTGATATGAAAATCTGGTATTAAAAAATGTGCCAGACTCTATGCGATAAAGTCATGAAAGCTTGCAGCAAAAAAAAAACTCAATCGTATCATGGCAAGGGGTAGGGGGTGGAATCTGCCTCCCTCATCCCTTTTAGTTTAAAAGGGGAAGTCCACCCTGATATTTTTTTGGGGTTTTGATAAAAGCAGAAAAATGAGAGAGGCAAATTAGTGGAAGTTTGAGCAAAATTCAATTAAAATAGGAAAGTTATGAATTTTGAATTTGTTATCAGTTGCATATTTTGCGAGCTCCTCTCCAATTTTCTCTATACAGTAAATTTTATAAACTTCATTTCCTTAGATACTGGTGACAAAATGAATTTTCTCATATAGGCGATGTATAAAAACATATGTGAGATAATTTTATTTAGGGTTAATGACTGATTTAAAATTTTCATGAGGGAAACTAGACATTTTTAAAGTGTTTTAGTACTGGGCAAATGGGAGGGGAGCTCGCAAAGATTTGTCACAGAGTTGCCAATTTTGATTTGATTGATCACACCTTCAAAAATTCATAACATTCTAATTTTTAATCAGTTTTGGCTCAAGCTTTTACTGACCTGTTTCTCCCCTTTTTCTGCTTTTATTAAAACCAACTTAATAACAGGGTAGACTTTCCCTTTAGGTTAGTGTTAAGCATGTTCACACCCGTAAAAAGATGAGGGTAAAAATACTGTTAGCACTTTGGTCAGTTACATTTACGTTGTGACCCAAAAAAGCTTTATGAGAAACCATTGTTATTGTTAATCAGGTAGGCCTAGTTGTATTTCCGTTTATCTCTTTCAAGCATCTCATTTATTATTTGTCTTTCCAAATGTCTGTTTTTCTGCAATGTTTGTTTGGTGGGGGGGGGGGGGGGGGGTTCTTGGTCACAATGGTTCACGCCTTTCCACAATAGTAAATATCTCTTTTGTGTATAAAAGCATGATTGCCTTTTAACAAGTGCAATAAAGTAAATCCAACATTATTTTTCTTTTATTGTTGCTTTGATTTTTGTATGTTTGTGTGTATTTATTTTTACTGTATTCAATGTTAAGTCAAGTCTCTTTTTATTGTTTTTCTTTTGAGCCGTCTAATACCCCCTTTACATACATGGATGTTTCTTACGAGTCCTTACGGATCACCAACTCGTAGTCAATCGCAAGCATCCGTAAATAACTCGCTGGTATTCGTAAATGACTCGTAAAAACGATTCGTTACGGTTAGTTTACGGATTATTACGAGTGCTTACATGTTGTTTACGATTTCCTTCGGGTCGTGTTACGATGGCTTAACAGATTGTTACAGGTTATTACAGGCACTTTATGTGTAGTTACAAGTACTTTAGGGATAGACATGTTTACACTCTGTTTTCTTACGTATTGTTTATGATTTGGGGAAAGGTATAGAAGCTGCAATATCGTAATGACTCATAAATACTTTTAACAACACGTAAACGGGTTGTAATATGCTCCTAAGTTGCTCATAGTCATCCGTGACAACTCGTAACAAATCGTGGAATTTTGCCGTATAAATAAATAGCTCGTAATAACTCGTAACAACTCTTAAATCGGTTGTAAAAGAGGCCAAATCATAAGGATTTGTGAAAAATCTGTGAACTGGTGCGATCTTTAAGGACTCGTAAGAAAAATCTGTGTATGTGAAGGAGGTATCATAGTAGAACAGATAGGATCAGGAGGTTTTAAAAAAGAAATAAAAATAAAATCTAACTTCGAGTAGGAGTCGGCCAACTATATATACAATTTTGTCATGTAGCTGTGGTGGCATGACTTCAAATACAATTTTCAGAAGAATCCTGTTTTAGTTTTATTGGTGCATAATGCCCCCTTCACATACACAGATTTTTCTTACAATTCCTTACGGATCGCACAAGTTCATGGATCATCCACAGATCCTTACGATTTGGCCACTTTTGCGATCGATTTAAGAGTTGTTACAAGTTATTACGAGATATTTACGGTTTATCACAGTCTATTACGAGTTATTACGATGTATTTACGGCAAAAGTCCAAGGTTTGTTATGAGTTGACACAGATAACTATGAGCAACTGACGTATTAGTTACGAGTTAGTTACGGATATTTACGAGTCCTTATGATTTTTAGCCCAAAAATAATAGCTGAAAATGAAGTGTTCGAATTTGCAGCTTTTATACTTTTCCCCAAATTGTAAACAATTTGTAAGCATACGTAAAGTATACATATCTATTCGTAAAGTACTCGTAACTACACGTAAAGTGCTTGTTATAACCCGTAATGATACATAAAGCCATCGTAATACGGCCCGAATGAAATGGTAAACAACACGTAAGCACTCGTAAATAATCCGTAAATAAATCATAAACGAACCATAACAAATCGTTAAATTTTTTGGTTACGAGTCATCTATGGATTCTTACGAGCAGTTTACGGATGGTTACGTGTTGCGAGCGATTTACGATACTTAAGAATTTTTACGAGCTATTTACGGGAAAATAAATCCGTGGACAATCGTAAGAAGATTTTTGACATGTCAAAAAATTGCCTCTCCTTTCATGGATCCTTACGAGTTTTTACGAGTTGTGACGAGTTATTTACGAATACCAGTAAATCTACGGATGCTTGCGATTAACTACGAGTTGGCGATCCGTAAGGACTCGTAAGAAAAATCTGTGTATGTGAAGGGGGTATTAACCTGCAATGACACATTACCTTAAAAATAATTAAGATAGAGATGGTAATTTGTAACATCTCATTACCAAATTAAGTAGTGGACATGGATCCATGACCTCACAGACTTGACCACGTTGTCAATTGGATGCCCTTTGAGTAGAATGTTTGAAATTACATATATTTTTCCTCTCTCTCTCTCTCGCTCTCCCTTTGTGATTGTTCTGCTTTTAATCAAAGAGACATTGAAACAGGTTTGACTCTTCCTCAAGAGGCAAACTTGGTGTTCTTCCTAACATACAGGATATGTTACTGCCAACTTGCCCCAGTGTCGCAAACAATTCATATTTGCCAAACAGACTAGAGTGGGAACTTGTTATAACAAGGACAATGGGGCCATGAAAATTACCTTGTTATCAGTTTCTAACAAGTATCCCATCCAAGAATATGGATGTTCCACCTTCTGCTTTTAAAAATTGTCACTCACACACAGACACAGTCTTCCAGCAAAACTCTCAAATCAACCGGTCTATATCTACCAACTTTTTACAAAGAAGTTTTCCTCAAAAAAGCACTAGGAGACAATTTTTACTCAGTTATGCTGTATTTAATTCAACAGCACTTGCAATCCGGTGCAAAAGGTGAACATAATATGACATTTTTGGGCATTTGGCATCATTAAATATCTTTCCTACTCTTAATCATAATGCAATCATGTACAATCATTTTATTTAGGAAAGCGAAATTCATGAAACCTTAAAAATTCTAGTTTTTACTTGTATGAGTATAGCTTCATGCTAAAATGCATTGCGATATATTGTATGATACATTTACATTCAAATGGGAAGGAAATACAGGAAGCGTAAAATATATTTGTATAGTTCGGTTTTAAAAAAAGAAACTTTGACTTAGATATGAGACTCTTGAGTCATACATATTTCACCATTACTGTCGTCATTAATAGAATCAAAATAAACAGTCGGACAGGTATTTCAAACATTATGCTTAAGTCAGGAGAGTTACAGTTAAGAATTATGATAAAAGTAGGGTGGTTATAACAAGAAGTTTGTATCAATCTAACTTCATATTCCAGAGATGAGAAAATATATTTGGCAACAATGTTGCAACAGTTTTATGTTTTTCTCACTATGTTTTCTCACTATTTGTATTTGTATTTCTTACTTTGAGATGATGAGACATGGGTTTTGTTAGTCCCTATTTTACTGACTGCAAGGATTGAGAAAAGTAGATGACCAAATGGCCAAAACAGCATGAAAATTAATACAAATGCAGTAAACATGAAGCATATACGGCAAACATTCAAGTAGCCAGATATAATTCATGAGTTTATCTATCCAAAACATGGTACTGAATTTAATGACCTGCAACTTTATGAACATATTGCAAATACATGTACATGTACACTGTTTAACACTTACACACATCTTCCCAAATGGTTTGTGCAAAGGACATTCACAGCAAAGGTTACTTTCCTCTATCCATTTTCAGTATGGTATGAAATGAGACATAAAGGAGCATAACAACTCATATCAGTGACGTACGCATTGTGTAATGTAATTCCATTTATACATGGAGTGGAAAATAGAATTACAGCAGCATGACTACAATAAACACAAACATGGAATGAATAATCACTGATGTGAGATCGTTTTCTTTCATTCATTTTGTCGAGCTGGATACCAATTTCAAACCTGTGATTTAATTACTGTCATTAGGAAATCTGTGAGAAAAATAACGCAAACAAACATACAAAAAGACATTGTTTAATATAATAAAACATTTTCATCAAGTACTCCTTTTTGTAACCGGAGAGATATTCATTCAGCAATCATAAAGGAACACAATAGTAATTCAAAAACATTGAAGTACATGAAACTCAGTGTCCAAGTGTCTTAGGACAACAAAACGTGTATTTAAAATCATGACTCATTGAATGGAAGACATCATAAAAGAGCATAATAGTCATTCAAAAACATAGATGTACATGAAACTCAGTGTCCAAGTGTCTTTGGTCAACAAAAACTTGTATTTACAATCCTGACCTCATTGAATGGAAGACATCATAAAAGAACATAATATTAATTAAAAAACATTGAAGTTCATGTAACACAGTATGTAAGTGTCTTTGGACAACAGAAACTTGTATTTACAATCCTGACCTCGTTGAATGGAAGACATCATAAAAGAACATAATATTAATTCAAAAACATTGAAGTTCATGTAACACAGTATGAAAGTGTCTTTGGACAACAGAAACTTGTATTTACAATCCTGACCTCGTTGAATGGAAGACATCATAAAAGAACATAATAGTAATTCAAAAACATTGAAGTTCATGTAACACAGTATGAAAGTGTCTTTGGACAACAGAAACTTGTATTTACAATCCTGACCTCATTGAATGGAAGACATCATAAAAGAACATAATAGTAATTCAAAAACATTGAAGTTCATGTAACACAGTATGAAAGTGTCTTTGGACAACAGAAACTTGTATTTACAATCCTGACCTCATTGAATGGAAGACATCATAAAAGAACATAATATTAATTCAAAAACATTGAAGTTCATGTAACACAGGATGAAAGTGTCTTTGGACAACAGAAACTTGTATTTACAATCCTGACCTCATTGAATGGAAGACATCATAAAAGAAAATAATAGTGATTCAAAAACATTGAAGTTCATGTAACACAGTATGTAAGTGTCTTAGGACAACAGAAACTTGTATTTACAATCCTGACCTCATTGAATGGAAGACATCATAAAAGAACATAATATTAATTCAAAAACATTGAAGTTCATGTAACACAGTGTGAATGTGTCTTTGGACAACAGAAACTTGTATTTACAATCCTGACCTCATTGAATGGAAGACATCATAAAAGAAAATATTAGTAATTCAAAAACATTGAAGTTCATGTAACACAGTATGAAAGTGTCTTTGGACAACAGAAACTTGTATTTACAATCCTGACCTCGTTGAATGGAAGACATCATAAAAGAACATAATAGTAATTCAAAAACATTGAAGTTCATGTAACACAGTATGAAAGTGTCTTTGGACAACAGAAACTTGTATTTACAATCCTGACCTCATTGAATGGAAGACATCATAAAAGAACATAATTCAAAAACATGATGTAACACAGTATTAGAGTGTCTTTGATCAACAGAAACTTGTATTTACAATCCTGACCTCATTGAATGGAAGACATCATAAAAGAACATAATATTAATTCAAAAACATTGAAGTTCATGTAACACAGTATGAAAGTGTCTTTGATCAACAAAAACTTGTTTTTACAATCCTGACCTCATTGAATGGAAGACATCATAAAAGAACATAATTCAAAAACATTGAAGTACATGTAACTCAGTATGAAAGTGTCTTTGATCAACAAAAACTTGTATTTACAATCCTGACCTCATTGAATGGAAGACATCATAAAAGAACATAATTCAAAAAAACATTGAAGTACATGTAACTCAGTATGAAAGTGTCTTTGATCAACAAAAACTTGTATTTACAATCCTGACCTCATTGAATGGAAGACATCATAAAAGAACATAATTAAAAAAACATTGAAGTACATGTAACTCAGTATGAAAGTGTCTTTGATCAACAAAAACTTGTATTTACAATCCTGACTCACTGAATGGCAGCCATTCTGACATTTTTTTGTGCTGTGTTTTCTTTTGTTCATTCTAGATAAATCTGTCTCTGTAAACTATGGGTAATGTTATTTTAAAAAAATGAATTGTAATTCATCTTCCCCTAAAGGACATTACAATTTCTAATTTCTAACATTAACAGAATTCTAATTAGAAACAAATAATTTGTATACTCTATTACTTTTCTCAGAATTCAGTTCAATTAGAAATTTAGCTTAAAATCAGTATGAGGTTTTTATAATTTTCTTTGGAGTCTTCATTCAAGTATATTGAAGCATTTTCACTCAAGTTTAATGATATGTCGTACAACGTTCAATGCTCTTCAAAGTATTTTGTACTGATTAGAATTCATGCCGATTCTGTATTTTTTCTTGATCCATTTTTCATCAATCTATTTTTCATCATCTGAAGTAGTGGTGTATCCAAATGTAAAGGAATGGGAGGATCTTTAACATTTCTATTATTTCTGATCTTTGTTTTAATTTTATAGTGGAAAAACAAACTCAAGATTAGCACTATAGCATAGATAGGCAAGAGAATGGACTCAATGATCACCCATTTGTTGGAGTTGCATGTTTCCGTATTAATCGGAATGGAGGTCACCATACTAAAATAGTAAACACTCTGATTGCTTTGTGTGACAGTGGAAAGAAGAGGCATTGTTGTAATTTCTAAAGGAGGGCAAGGGTCATTGCTATCATCATCAGCGATATACAGACCAGTATCATTACATTCACATCTTTCTTTGTATTCATCTAAAGTAGAAGAGCAACAAAAAACTGGCAGAGATTTCCTGATGAGAATGGTCTGTTTCAACAATGTGCCAGTTTCACTGGGGTCAGTAAGGGAAGGCATCCATACACCATCCTGATAGCATTCAATCTTTCCTGATAGACTCCCAACATTAGCTGTACAGTCTATTGAGACCCAGTCTCTACCCTTTCCTTCACTCACAACACATGATGCCTTACCAGGAGGATAGTGTATTTGCAGTTCGACTCTTGTTGTGTGATCAACAATTGACTTCCCATCCTTGTAAACCAATGAGATGTATTTCCCTGCATCATTTCTCATTAGATTAGTTATTGTAAGATCCAGAGAGCAGTTTCCATTTTTGATTCTATTTTGCACATGGAATCTATGGAGTTGACTTCCAGGCAATGACAGCTGCGACGACCCGTCTGTCAAGCGATAAAATGGGGCTCTGCTTGAATGCTGTACTAAAGTGACTTCTGTACTGTCACATGGGTATGGGAAAATCAAGTTAGCTTCTTGCCCTTGTATTTTAGATAATTGTGTGGATTTACATCCATGTAGAATCGTGAGAATGATAGGAATTACTAATATTTGGATTTTAAACCCACCAGTCAAGGAATGAAACAAAACTTCAACCATTGTGATTTATGGTAGAATACCGTAGAGATTCTTCCCAAAATGTGGAGTAAAAGATTGTTACTTTGAACTGTAAGTAGGAGAAAGTGATCGTCAGTATTCTATATCATTCACAAATGATACTGCTTCACCTTTGACATCCAAGTCGTTCGAAAAAATGCAGATGAAAATGATTTGGCTAAAAGCCAGCCAGTTGTTCAAAATGTGTAAAAGTGCAATCTAATTTTCGGCTAACACATATTACATCGGCTTGTTCTGTCACATACCGGTATGCACAGACATGTATCATGCACAGTCATTGTAGGCTTGTAGCCGTAATCTACTGTATTGTGTTCCAGCTTTTGTTCCTGATGGATTAATGAAGATTGTTAGTGTGTAAAAATCATCAGATTGGACAATTAGACATACAGCAAGAGTTGATCCGTCAACCAGGACTGACTTATTCCCTTCTTAATCACCGAGCTTCATTTCACTTTGATAAATCACCAATAACCTGCAGACCATATCTCCCCATTTAGGATTCAGTGATGGTAGAGTAATGGCCATTAGAATAGCCCCAGATGCCAGATGTCCTAATCATTGCCTGGATGTGTTAGAAGAAAAAATAGAGTAGGTGGATTGTACAACATAAATTGTGGAGATAGTTTCTCTATGGTCACTAGCTCTATAGCTCTAACTTCCACCCTGGACCCAACACTATACCTACCCCTTAGCCGAACCAACCCAAAATACAACCTAAAACCCCATCAAAACCCAATGTTTACCATATTACTGGTAATCATATAATATTTTTGTTTACTCAGGGAAGCCTTATTAGTTCTGTTGTTCTTGTAGTAATCGCCAGCTACCCAATATACATCTTAGTAGAGAGGGCCATATGTGGATTAATTTCTTATCAAATAAGTTTATTGCCAGGCTGGGATTCATTTCATTTCATTTTTTTTTCATTCATTTATTTCACTCTCTTTTAAAAAACATCAAAAGTATATACATGTTCGTTCATTATCAACATAAGATAAAAGGAAGTGGGGAATCATGAAAGCCAAAATTAGCTTGATGAGAATTATCCCCAAATAAATACTTAGAATAAACAAGATATAAACTTATTTTATATTAAAAAAACATATATAGAACATACATTCACAACAACAGAGGAAAGATGAAGATAACATAAGGTAAAGACATTTACAGGAAGAAAAGAAGAAGGAAGTTACAGCTTGAATTTTACATTTTACATAATAAATGACAATTTCATTTTGTTCCGCTTAAATAACCCTTAGTTAGGTAGTTGTTCTAGGGGTAGTTGTCCGGGGTTTTTTGTCCTGGGGATAGTCGTCCTATATAGAGGGTGGTTGACCTAAGGGGTAGTTGTCCTAGGGGTAGTTGACTGGGGGTTATTATCCGGGGTGGAAGTCCAGGGGTTAAGTGTCCTAGAACCGTTTTATAGATAAAAACAGTAAACCTCGGAGGAAAAAATAGATCATCAAAGGTGCTTGAAGTTCAAAGCAGATATACTTTGACTTTATTTGTATGTAGGCCTACTTCTTTGTGAGTATGTAGTATCATAATTATGCTCATGCAGGAGAGATGACCTTGCTAGGAAATAAGGATTGATGAATTGTTCAGCTGTAGTCCTGAAAGAAAATTGCTAATTGAGCTGTTCTCTTTATGTAGGACATCTGGAACATTTTTCTTCAGATTTAAAATATATAATTATACAAAGCAATCAATAATGTTGTGGTTTTCACTTTAAATCAAAATACATTACATCATTATTTAACAGAGAGTATATATAAACAAATTATACACTTACCTAACTCCTTTGCATGTTGACATTGTTTAAAAACTGCGCTTGTGAAACATGAAGTTGTATGCAGCTCCAATGAAAACCATACATCCTAGGTGAAGCATGACTTTTCGCTTTCAAACTTCCTCTTGACAACAGAGAATATAAATAGCATCCAATCAACGAAAGCTGCAATGGTTCAACAATGTTGTACCTGTCCCTGGGAGGTACATGCCAACATTAGGCCAATTCACACTTTTTAAGAAATATGGAATCAAATAAATAAAATAAAATAGAAATAATTAAGTGCAGGAAAACGTTGCATTTGATTCCTGATTCAAATTTCATTTATTTGCCTGTTCGCATGTGGGATAAGTGAGATTATATATATATATATATATATATATATATATATATATATATATATCAGGCCTGATTATTTGCCCATTTAAATCGTTTTTTATTTAAAAAATAAATAAATCAAAATCCGGTTTGGAATTTGGAGGGTGAGGTGCCGTTTTTTCATGACTTGCTTGAACGCATGCAGGCGCTCGGGAAACTTGATTCGGTCTGATTTCTAAAACCCCTTTTTTTAATTTGTATTTCTCACTAAACGATTTCTTTTTTTAACTCTCACTATCACCCCTGATTTTAAAATATATATACATATACAAATAAATATACATACACCTGTAAGTGTTTTTACAACAACTCCCATGGAAATAAATACAAATGAGAAAATATAGTTTAGGGAGATTACATCAAAGTAGAGCAATGATCAGGGACTTGATTTAAGCCATGCAACCATTCATCTATCATTTCCTTTCACAGTATACATGTTTATACATATATATATATATATATATATATATATATATATACATTCAGAGAGAGAGAGAGAGAGAGATAGCTGCCAATGAAAGCCTTAGTTTACTGGTCAATGTAATTTTGCTTCAACTTTTTTGTCAGGTTATTGATAATTTTGCTAAATTTCTGTTTATATTTTAACATTTTCCTTTAGGGTTAATTTCACTCGTAATTTTGTTAAGTTTCTAATCTGAGAACTTTCAGATTCCATTTCACTAACCCAGCCTTATTCCTGTGTCGATATGTTATTCTTCATTTTCTTCGTACCCTATCATCGTACTCCGTTCGTCCATAGAATGCCGGGTAAATTATTGTTAGGTTGATTTTATTTTGTTGGGTGATAATTATGTACACTTTGAAAGTGAGGATGTGATTATGCTTTGTGTGTGAACACCCCTTATGGTGTACATATCACATCTCTCTGTGAAATTGAATGATAGGTCCAAAGTCCACACAATCAAGCCTGCAGGATAGGATTATGATTTATGGAACAAAATGACATACATGTGCACCTCACCCTCATACACAACTACTCACAAAACCCACACCCAAAACAAAGAACAATATGAAGTTGCAAATGGCACTTTAGGTTCAAATTTATAAGCAAATGTTTTTAATATGAATTCATTCACAGCAAGCAGTAAAATAGACAGAAATATAAAGTATTAAAATATAAATTGCTCACATATTGTAAATAATTCATTTTAATATTGTTTTGTATAGTGCCTTAAGTAATTTATTAGATAAGTGCGCTTTATAAGTATTTATTATTGTTATTATTATTATTATTATTATTATTATTATTAATACATAAATCTAGCTAGGAATACAGTTTGAAGTTGCTAAGTCATATTCTGCCCCTCAACAAAAAGGAAAGTTAACTGGTATTCTGGTAAGAGGTTGGAAACTGATATCAAAGTACAAAGTACCCATAAACAACCACAAAATTGTAATCAGAAAACATGATACGGTTTGCACACAATGATAATAATAATAGTAATAATAAAAACGTTACTTATAAAGCGCTTACCACCGAAGTCTCTAAGCGCTTTAACACCCAATATAGACTGATATACAGTAACATCTTAAACAAAACTAAAAATGCAAATAAACCTACAAATTACAATACATATGGAATACACATCAAAGTGAACAGAGTTAATTAATCATCGAACGCAATTTTGAATAAATGTGTCTTCATGGATGAAATGCATCGATGAAGTGCATATATAAAGTGGCTGAAAAATTGCCTTCTGAATATTTTGGTATGGTTTCATTTTAATTAAACATTTAATAATTTGCAGATACAACCCTCCACTTAGGCTCCAAATGTAGTGTAAAAGGAGCCCTTAGTGACCCATCGGATGGATGAGATGACATGGCAATATGATATCAACATGAATAAATGAAAAGATCTATAAAAGCACATGGCACTCCGAAATAAGCACCAGGAAATATTCTTTATACCTTAAATTGTTTGCACACTAGAGATGAAATGCATTAATCGAATACATATTAACTTGAGAAAAGCTACTTCTCAAAATTTCAGGTATATTGCTTCAGCTTGTTTGATAGAGAAAGACATGCAGTTACTTAAAAGTATACATATATATTTATGTTACTCATGTACATTATATTTATAAAGACTATTAAGGTGTACTATCTGTGGATGCTAGTGAAATGTCAGTGAATTTTTTTTCAATAAAATGCTTATCCAACGTGATTGTCAATGACCAGGCAAGGAGGGATTATACTTCTTTAACCTCATCCATTATAAAGAGATAAGACAATAAATCTACTACAAGTCCATGAGCAGTTGCTCTGGTGGTTTGGGTACCCATCCACTTTAACTAAATCATTTTATCCATGACAGAAAAAATGCACTAGGAAAGTAAATATTCTGATGAGGAATTTCTAAAGCAGGTTTTATATCTTGAAATTAGATTATAAAACAAAATAATTGTAATCCTGTGGTAAACTACTCACTTTGGTTTACTGTCATACAAATATTTGTCCCTATTTGGAAATCTGTGAGAACAACACAAACAAACGTATAAAAATACATTGTATGTAGTACTGCTTTTTTGTATAAGTTATTGGAGACATATTCATTCAGCCATCATGAAAGAGCATAGTAGTAATTCAAAAACATGTAACTCAGTATAAAATTGTCTTTGAAATGGAAGCCATCATAAAGAACATAATAGTAATTCAATAAACATTGAAGTAAGTGTAAGTCAGTATAAAAGTGTCTTTTGACATCAAACCCTGTATACAATCCTGACACATTGAATTGAAGCCATCATAAACGAACATAGTAGTGATTGACAAACATAGAAGTACATGTAACTCAGTATAGTGTCTTTTGACATCAAACCCTGTATACAATCCTGACACATTGAATTGAAGCCATCATAAAAGAACATAATAGTGATTTATAAACATTGAAGTTCATTAACTCAGTATTTCACTGTCTTTGGACAACACAAACTTGTGTTTACAATCCTAACTCATTGAATGGAACCAATTCTGACAATGCTAGTACTTTTGTGCAGTGTTCTTATTGTCCATTCTCAGTAAAGTATGGATAATTTTATTCAAATTTTTCAAATTGTAATTTATGCTCCTCTGTAGAATATTCTTTTTTTAAAGTGATATACAATTTTCTAGAATTAACAAAATTCTTATTAGATGCAAATAGTGTGTATATACTCTATCAATTTTCCCACAATTCAGTTCAATTCAAAATTGAGTTAAGAATCATTATGAGATCTCCATTATTTCATTTGGAGTCTTCATTAAAGTGTATTGAAGTATTTTCACAAGAGTTTAATGATGTCATACAAAATTGAATGTTCGTCAAAGAAATGTAGAATTTACGCAAACTCTTTATGTTCGCTTGATCCATCTTTCATCTTCTGACCGTTAAGTAGTGATGTATTCGATTCTAAAGGAATGGGAGGATCTTTACCATTATTATTATTTCTGATGTTTGTTTTAATTTTGTAGAGGATAAACAAATTCAAGACTAGCAGTATAATTTCAATGGGTATGGCAATTGAGTGAATGTTCACCCATTTTTTGGAGATGCAATGTTTCGTAATAATCGGAATGGAGGACGTCACAGTGGAATAGTAATCACTCTGATTGTTTTCTGTGAGAGTGGAAAGAAGAGGCATTGTTGTAATTTCTGATAAAGGAGGGCAAGGGTCATTGCCATCATCATCAGCTATATACAGACCAGTATCATTACATTCACATATTTCTTTGTATTCATCCAAAGTAGAAGAGCAACAAAATACTGGCTGTGATTTTCTGATCAGAATGGTCTGTTTCAATAAAGTGTCAGTATGAGTAGGATCAGTTAGGGGAGGCATCCATACACCATCCTGATAGCATTCAAACTCTCCTGATAGACTCCCCACATTAGCTGTACAGTCTATTGAGACCCAGTCTCCACCCTTTTCATCACTCACAACACATGATGCTTTACCAGGAGGATAGTCTACCTCTAGCCAAATTCTTGTTGTGTAGTCATCAAGTAGTTGTCCCTCCTTGTAGATAGTGGAAAGGTATGTCCCTTCATCACTTCTCATTAGATTACTTATTGTAAAATCCAGAAAGCAATAGTCAGTGTCATTTCTATTCTGAACTTGGAATCTATGGACCTGATCATCAGGCAATGACCCAACTGTCGAGCGATAAAATGGGTCTCCGTTCGAATGCTGTAATGTGACTTCTGTACTATCACATGGGTATGGGAAAATCAAGTTAGCTTCTTGCCCTTGTACTTTATTTAATGTTGTGGATTTACTTCCATCTAGATTCATGAGAATGAAAAAGACAAACAATATTGGAATTTTAAATCCACCAGTCAAGGAATGAAACAAAACTTTAACCATTGTGATTTATGGTAGAATAGAGATTCCCCCTAATATGTTAAGTAAGAGTTTGTTTCTTTGAACCGCAAGTAGGAGAAAGTGATCGTCAGTATTCTATATCATTCACAAATGATATTGTTCCAACTTTGACATCCAAATCTATCAAAAAATTCCAGATGAAAACGATGTGGCTATAAGCCAGTCAGTTGTTCAAAATGCAAGTGCAAAAGTGCAATCTATTTTTTAAGCTAGCATTCGTACATCGGCTTGTTCTGTCATATTTACACAGGCATGAATCCTGCACTAGTTGTCGCGGCAATGTACTGTATTGTGTTC